ATCCCACAAATGACATTCTTACTTTGTGTTACCTAGTTAGTGTAGCAGAGGGTGGAGTCAACTCACAGATGACATTTCATTACTTGTACGCTAGTTAGTGTAGCAGCGGGTGGAGTCAACTCACAGATGGCATTTCATTACTTGTAACTTGCATCATATAGAGGATATTATATGAGTGCCCATGTCATACTATGTTTACGACATAAGTGCCTAAATGTTGGTATTTCCCCAGCAAGAGCGAGTGATATACCGATATTTAGGCACAAGTGTCTTAAACATAGTATGATATGGGCATGAATATGATATTCTGTTTATTACCGAAGTCATCAAATTGAGGAAAATAAACCCAAATCTACTTTCAACATAGGCTAGCTATTACTAAATACTAAATTAGTGATAGTAATATCTTCTAATTCCTTTATTCAAATACTTAAATGGACAGAATTCTAAGGGGCGGTGGGGTAGCCTAGTGGTTGAAGTTCGCTTTCGTCATGCCGAAGATCCGGGTTCGATTCCCCACATGTGTACAATGTGTGAAGCCCATTTCTGGTGTCCCCGCCGTGATGTTTCTAGAATATTGCTACAAGCGGCATAAAACTAAACTCACTCACTCACAGAATTCTAACTGGCTCTATTGGAATCTCCAAAGAAAATTTGGCTACAGTTGTCTCCCTTGACAACTCCCCACTACCAGCACATAAATTCAAAATGAAAGATGACTCCTTATGAATATGTGACACTTGGTTGATAACAACCAGGTGTATTCTTGGTATTGGTGTTTCAGGGATCCTTAATGTGATTACCTGTACTGATGAGTTAATACAAATAGAGGCTGATATGTTTGTGTAAAGTCGGACTAAGGGACCGTTCATAATTTATGGCTAGGGGGTGGTAGGTGATGGTGATTAAATAAATTATGCTTATATATTATGGGAGGGGGGGGTAATTGATTTTGTACATGACATACAGGGCGGGGTCACTTACTTTGTACATAAATTTTAGGGGGGGTCATTCACATTGTAATTGCTTCTCCATGAAAATCACCACTAGCCATAAATTATGATCGGTCCCTAATGACAAAAACTATGAATGTTACGACCATTCAGACCAAGATGTGTCCCGGCAACAAAGCAAACTACTCCATCATCACAACAATCACTGGAATAAGGAGACTCCTAGAAACCACTGAATTACAGAAAAAGATGCCAGCAATATATGTATACTAAACTCCATATATAGGGACAACAATCACTGGAACAATGGTTTAACTATTGGTTTGAACTTGTCTTGAAAGTGTTCTTGTAAAATCACTTCTCCTGAAGATAAAAGGAAATATTGTAAATTTAACATGTTGGAGAAGATCTAGATGTTCACTCAGTGGGATTATTTCAGGAAACTTCTTCTTATATGTACTGTTGACATCAGTATTCTCATCACTTTCTGATATATAAATATATATATATTGTAGCCTGCATGTTATGACGGTATTCTCATCATATTTCTTTATATATGTATATATACACACACACTATGAAAAAATGTCATTCTTCACGTGAGAATACAAATACATGTTCAAACCATACAGGTATAAAATTGACCCAAATCTCTCAGGCACTTCATATATATTTCCATAGTTGAGACAAACATGTTTAATTTGACATATGAAAACCTGGTGTCTTTACTTTAGTCAAAAGTCAGTGTTTGCAAAACAAATTTAATACTTCAAGACAAGATGTCAAATAAAACATTTTGTGAGCAATAACAATGCCTGAATGCGCATCCGAAAATGTACTATTAGAACATAGTTACAGAGTGAGCGAGTATGGTTTAACGTCTCTTTTAGCAAATATTCCAGCAATATCACGGCTGGGGACACCAGAAATGGGCTTCACACATTGTACCCATGTGGGGAATCGAACCCGGGTCTTCGGTGTGATGAGCGGACGCTTTAAGAATTAGGTTACCGCACCGGCTGTAGTAGGACAGACAATAGGCCTTTGTCATTGGCAACTGGAGTGTGTATGTTTTGGAATTCATATTCAACTAAATATCTCAGCCAATGCAAAGGCAACTATGTTTTTAACAGAGACTATGCAATAAGTAAATAGCTTATTTTTATTTAAACATTTAATAGTTTGCCATCAAGATAACCAAATATATTTTTTAGTTCAAATACTAACTCAGTCTTAAGTCTTAATTTTAACAAAAATACCAACATAATTTAAAACCATCTGTAATTAATATCTTCATCAACAATGACGTCCATCACATTCTTCAATGCAATTTTCTGGGAGATTGGGATGGGACATCTGGATTACTTCAAGCAGAATTAATCAAGCAGTTGATTGTGTCTTCTCCCTAAATAATGGCTTCTTTATCCCACAAGTAACTAAACATTTACACTGAGCTCCTAAGGAAAACAACTAGCTAACAATCTAGATGTATAGTCCTCTTATTATAAGCATTAACATTCTCATGAATATTAATGTCACTAGGCACCAAGACACAGAACAACCCTAAACAAAGCAATGCAATTATCACCACCAGCGGGTTTTCTGTTTCAAAATGATAAATACAAAGTACATCAAAATGAAAAACAAATGTTTTCATCAGAAGACAATGTAGAAGGTCATGTGCAAAAAGAAGTCAATCAATATCTCTGTGAAGCATGTCTTCAGATCAACATCTCGGTGAAGCATGGAAGTCTTCACGAATGTGACTTGGCGACATTCACTTTGGACAGAAACACTCTATTGTTTGCATAGACTCCTGAAATAGTCTTCTTTTCACAGTATCAAGTCCTGCCTGACGACCATTAGAGTTTCATATACTTCAGCATGTTACGAGTACACAGTTATTGACATCTATTGACATCAACAGAGTGAACCTTTCACTGAATAAAGCTCCAAGCATTGTTTACCATGTTACAGGTTTGCTGATAATCATGGAGACTGGCATGATTAATTCCCTCCTTTTTTCATAATTAGTTGTGGTACTTATCAATTTCGAGCCTTTAATTGAGGCTCAAATAAAAATATTTTTCATAATTTGCTGATATATTGATCATTTTAGAATGTTTAATTGAAACTGAAGTAAAAATATGTTTCAAATAAATAGTTGTTCTTATCAATTTTGAGAAGAAGCAAGTTTTTTCTTACAACTTAGCTTTTGTACTAATAGATTTTGAACCTTTAGTGAGTAAGTGAGTTGAGTTTTATGCCACTTTTAGCAATATTCCAGCAATATCACGGCGAGGGACACCAGAAATGGGCTTCACATATTGTATTCGTGTGGAGAATCGAAGCTGGGTCTCCGACATGATGAGCAAACGCTTTAACCACTAGGCTACCCCACCGCCCCTTTTGATCCTTTAACTGAACAATATAGACAATTCAAGCTTTATCGATAACTACTTTATTTCGTGAGTGCAACATTTCGATACAGATTCTTGTACCATTGTCAAGCAGTTGTCCTGAAGTTGTTTGAACTCCTAAAATGCCACTCAAACAGAGGCTCATGTAAAAATCTTGTTTGTAATTACCTGATGTATTGATCGTTTATGAACTTTCAATTGAGTCCAGCTACAAAATCTGTTTCTTTCGTTATCACAATTTAGGTAAAACTAGTTAGCATATATCTTTAAAAGTAGAAATTATATTTGGACAATACAATATAAAAATGGGCTTTTGATGCTCACAACTTAGATCACCATACTAGGAACCATGGGGACTTAGGTTAACCTAGATAAATGTCCCAGTAAAACTGCCTGGGTTTTGAAATATAAACAGTTTATTACATTTATGTGTTTGTCAATGTAATTTTTTCTGGTTAATGAGTGTCCTGGGTTTTGAAAAATATGTGTGTGTCGGTAAAATTAATCCAGTAAAAGCATTTGTATAAAATCTGGAAATTGTTTCTTAAAGTCATTAAGAGTTTGTATTTACGCCGTTTTTATCAAAATTCAAGCAATATCATGGCGGGAGACACCCAAAATGGGCTTCACACATTGTACTCATGTAGGGAATCAAACCCAGGTCTTTGGTGTGACTAGTGAACACATTGACCACAAGGCTAACCCTATAGGCTAGAGTGAGTGAGTGAGTAAGATTTTACGCAGTTTTTAGTAATATTCCAGCAATATCACGGCAGGGGGACACTAGAATTTGGCTTCACATATTGTACCCATGTGGGGAATCAAACCCAGATCTTCAACATGACAAGCAAACGCTTTAAGCACTGGGCTACCCCACCGCCCCCCTAGGCTATTGCGACACACAAATGTTATGTGTTTGTTATTCATGCTTTTAAACATAGTTACACCAAAGAACAAGACTCAGATGTCCTCGTGCTTTAACTGTAATAGTTCAGGGCAACAGTGTATTTTACTACACTATACATGGTGGTATAGCAAACTGTATTTCTTAATTAAAGGTCAGTATGACATCAACTATGTCATCTCTGTGACATCGCTAGTACACACTACCTCAAGAAAGCTGTGTGCACTCTGTCAACAATTGATCTGTGTCTCAAGCCATAAGTGCTGTAGAGTGAGTGAAATCGTTATTACACTTATATCACAAAGGGTGTACAGGTAGGTAGATCATACAGCTGTTATATCCACATTTCAGGCAAAATGAGAACAGCATAGTGGTGCTTAAATTTTCCAGATCAACATATATGGTGTATATGGTTTCCAGGTGTATATATATATATGGTGTATATGGTTTCCAGGTGTATATATATATGGTTATATGGTTTGCAGACAAGTATATGGAGGTGTATATATATATGAGGTGGTTCTGGCCAGGTGTATTTTATAAGTGTATATACAGATATATATAGTATAGTTCAGGTGTATATATATATATGGATAATGTACTGGTTATATTTGCAGACAAGATGGAGGTGTTCTCTATGTACATACAGGATGGTTCTGACATTTGCAAGATGTAGTGTATGTATAGATAATGTAAACTGATACATCTCGTTCTCTATTTCAGGCAAGATGGAGGAGCACTGTGGGGTGGTGCCACGAGGCTTCCTCTGCTGCCGTCTGTGTGAGGAGGAGTTTCGTCAGCCCAAATTCCTCCCCTGCCTGCACTCCTTCTGCAAGGACTGTTTGCAGGCACATGTCAAAAAGTATGCCGACGAGGATGGATACTTCGGTTGTCCGATTTGTGGCACCGAGACAACCCTCAGGCAGCAAAAAGTGGAGAAACTGCCAGACAATCTTTTCGCCAGACGGCTGTCAAATCCTGCCATCTCCTTGCAAAAGCCGCCAAAGAGGGACAAATCCCGCAGCTGTCGCGACTGTGGACAGAAGTCAGAAATATCCTTTCACTGCATAAACTGTGATGACTTCCTATGTCAGATGTGTTCCGAGTCCCATCAGCAGCAAGAGGAAACGGCCAGTCACAGCACTCAAACCATTCAGGACTATGAAGCTCAGAACAAGCCCCGGTCACGCCCAGCCTCTCCGGACACTCCGTCGGTGTTGTCCCAGTGCTGCGAGTACTACGATGCCTATGACATTGGTGCAATGTTCTGTGTGGACTGTGACATGGCCCTGTGTGCCGAGTGCCACACCAAGAGTCATCAGGAACATAGGTGTGCGGAGTTGACAGCAGTGTCTCAGAACTTTGAGATAAAGATCAAACCTCCCCTCGACCAACTCACCAATGATGCGAAGTCCTTGAAGAAAACTTTAAAGGATCTGGAGATTGCGGAGAAGGTTGTCGAGAAACAGCAGATTCGCCTTCAGGCAGATGTCAAGAACAGAACCAAGGTACTCTGTGACCTCATCATGGAGTACGAGAATGTTCTTCTCAGTGAGGTAGACAAGAGCCAGTCTCACAATCGTGAGTGCATCCAACAAAAACGCAATGACATTGAGCTGCATCTTGCCTCTATTCAAGCTGTTACCGACCTTACAGAGAAACTTGTGTCATTTGGTTCAGAGGAAGAAAAGGTGTCCCTGAGAAAGAAAATAGGTCGGAGGGTCAGAGAACTTTGTGAGACTGAACTCCCAACACAAGCCGTGAACCTGGTCAGTCTCAACCTGTGCGAACCTGACGTCAATGTTGAGAAGATCTGTGACTTGTTTGGAGAGTTGAAAACTGGCATGGCGAGTTGTTCCCGTAGGTCAAGCCGATCTCACATTTCCACGACCCAAGAATCAGGTCATCCAAGCGTCAGTGACTCAATAGAAAGCCATGACAATGACACAGAAATTACTGAACTGGAAGACTATGAGGAACGTGACCATGACATGCTTAGTGCCAGTAACACCAGCGAGACTTTCAGGGCAATACAGGAAGAACCAGAGGAACAAGAACAGGAACAGTCCAACTCCTCCTTCCAGTCCTCAACACAAGATGAGGTGCCCTCTCTAACTCTGGACACTCCTGCCAAAGAGCTTGCTCTACCCTCCAACATCCAGCGAGACTGCATTAAAGGAATGGGAGTCAACCAGAGTGGAGACATCATCATCGGTGCGGCATCTGCAGGAAGTCAATGTGTTTACTATGTGGAAAAACGTGGCATCATCCGGGGCCAAATCCCAGTTGAAAAGGGCTGGAATATTCACTCTGTTGCTCCAGATGGAAAGGTGGCGGTCGCGGTCACACGGGGAGACAATCGTTACAAAGTCAAGGTTTTGTCGAATGATGGCTGTGGCACAGTCCTTGCTAATCTTCATCTTGAAAGTTTTGGGTTGAATTATGTTGCTCCGTACTCACATGGTCAAGTGATAATTTCTTCAAGCAGGTACGCACAGCTTAACCGGAACTACGGCAAGTCCGCCAAGTCAGGTGGAAATGTGGCAGTGTACAACAAGGATGGCCAAATCACGCTACACATCACAAATGAGGACTTTGTTGATGAAGGGCTGTATCTTTTTGAAAAGCCGCAGCATATTGCTGCCGACGCTGATGAAAACTTTTTTGTGTGTGATCCGTCCACTCATATCGTGTCGGGTTTCAATAAGGATGGCGTTTTGTTGTTTGAGTACGGCAACACAGACAGTGATGAGGAAATCTACCAGGGTCCTGACCTGGTGTGTGTCGACAGAAAAAAGAATGTTCTTGTCACGGACAAGCGTGAAGGTCGAATTGACCTCCTCACCTATGAAGGCCAGTTACAAAAGTGTCTCTTCCTGGAGGACGTTGTCAAGTTTGTGTCCGTCAGCTCTGATAACAAGCTTGTTATAGGCACTACTGAGGGCACAATCAAGTTCTATGAATATCTGTGATTTCTGTCTCCTGTAAACAGGTTTCCGTCCTAATCAGAGACATTTGTTCTTTCAACCTAACGAACTTGATGTATCAATATACTTTTCTAGTCTGGACATTATCCTATTTGATACTGGTGCCTAATATCAACACTCTGATTGTAATGAGGACAGCTAGTGATCTTGATTACGGTAATTTTATAGCACCTACTATTTGGTTATAACATCTAAGGTAGAGCCAATAGAGAGAGGAAAATAAATTATTTTTCAACCTAATAATGAGACAAGCAGGACAGCATGAGGCGTCCCTCATGGACACCTCGTAGTACAAGACTAGGTTCCTGAGACCAATTATATACTGAACCTTCATAGTTACAAGTTCCAACACCATGTATGTGAGTGAGTGAGTGAGTGAGTGAGTGAGTGAGTGAGTGAGTGAGTGAGTGAGTGAGTGAGTGAGTGAGTGAGTGAGTGAGTGAGTGAGTGCCAGTATGTTTTAACAACGCTTTTAGCAATATTTAGCTTCACACATTGTACTCATGTGGGGAATCGGAACTCGGGTCTTCGGTGTGACGACTGAATGCTTTAACCACTGGGCTACCCCACCACCCCTCCAACAGCAAAAGAATATATGTAATATATAAATATTAATAACACAAGAATAAACAGTTTCATGAAGCAAAGTGCTTGTAATCACCACGTTCAGATGCATCAAACATATCATTTGTTAGACAGAAATTCTCAGAGCAAGTGTGTTACAGAACTTGTTAAAGGGGTCGTCACTGATAGATTAAAGGAGATCAACACCCAAGCAAGCAAAGATTGATCAAATACACTTAAACTTTAGCTCATAACACAGATAATCCGTCACAATGAACAACTGACAATTGATAACCTTGATCAGATGAATGGCAGTATTAGACCTTAAAGAATGTTCTGTTTTAAATCTGATAAAATGTGTCAGTATGAAATTGCAAATTTGAATCAAAATGTTTGTATCAACATGTGTGCTGAATGAATGTAATAACTATACTTCCCATCAAAAGTTTAGACACACTAGTGTAAATATAGCCACTTACTTCAGGCAACTGTTCTAAACTAAATTTTGCAAAATATTCCATACTGTTTAAAGGTACAGTTTACACATGAACTGATGTATTGTAAAACATTTTCGTAACGTTGAAAAGATTATTGTTATGAGCTCAATTAATGATAAAAATCAGTGAGCGTTGGCGAATTCTTAACAAAACTTTACACAAAAACGCAGGTGTTCACATGCACGGTATTTGCACATGCTTTTCAGCAATTTGATGCATGATCGTCATGCAATTCATCTGCATAAGGTTTGCAGTTGGTTCCCCCAAGTTAGTGGAGAAAGCAATCTTCGATGTAAACACATATATATATATATATATAACATATAGTGAGTGTTTTAAGTGAGTCTAAACTTTTGATGGGAAGTATTCGAAAGGTAACAAACAGGTCCAACATACTTAACAAGAGCACCAGATTTTAATATTAGTTTTACACTATTGAGTATATGTTAAAATACCTTTGAACAAATGAAGTACTTTTACCCAAATTTGCCTTGCAAGGGCACTAGATGCTACAGAGCTTACAATACATTAAACACAGGTACCAGGGACCAGTTTAAAACCCCTTTCTCAATGTTTCACTGCAGTAACCAAAACAAGCAAAACACTCATATTTCACTGATTCTGCTTTCCATTCCTTGTCTAATATTCTAGAATGTGATATTAACATACTGTTTATAGTTCCAATATATGTCTCTCATTCGTCATGATGTTCTACAAGGAATTCAACATTTTCAGAATTAAATTTGTGGAAGAGTGGGTCTCTCAACTTTTTTTATCCTACATTGTACTTTTGAACTGGTCTCTATGCCTACTGTTTTATCAGTCATTGTGTGTACTTTGTAAACTGGCCATAAGTAAACTTTTGCTACATATTTATAACCACCCTGATGATATTTGTCTCAAAGTATTTCTACTTAAAGTGATATTTGTGTGTACATTTTCATTAAATCATATCCACATACTGCAAATATGTATACCGTACCGCCTTTATTTATCACATATATGGCGCATATTTCTACCTTTGTGATCTCAGATATCCATTCTACATGTCCATGATCTCATTACATGTCATAAGCACTGTGTTAACAGTGTTTGCAAGTGTCAGGCCAGTTCATCAGGATATTTGTTATCCATATTCAGATTGCCAGATAATATTTTGACATGGTACTCTTACATAAGTCTAATCTTTTACTCTCATATGATACTGATCTGCAAGAAGATACGACAATCTTTCCACAGAAGGTCATGCAAGAAGATATCGACAATCTTTCCACATCCACAGGTCATCATATGAACTTCATATTCAGTTAATCCACAGGTCATCCTATGAACTTCACATTCAGTTAATCCACAGGTCATCCTATGAACTTTACAACCAGTCAATAATTAGAGGGGATTCTTAAATTCATGGTACAAGCAATCATTCAGACCAGCACATCTGATTACAGTACTGTGTCTTGAAAATGAAGTTAAACAGCTAGTCCTGAATGTAAATAATTAAAGCCATAGAGTTATTTTATACATCCTGTTATGTGTAGAAGGGAAGAAGGGAGTATCATCGAAGGAAGCTGGCTCAAAGTTAAGATCTGATTTAAATGTCCCAGCTCAGAGTAAATATTACAATAATTTTATGCTGCTTCTGTTTGAATTTAATCAATTAAACATGCACTGGGTATGAAACTTCAGTTTGCAAAGCTTTGGTAGCTACAATTTTCAATATAATGTACTGTGCTGAGGTCATTTCCTACTGGCACTTACTAAATGAAAACAAGGTTATATCAATAACAGTAATGTCCAACCAGGAGTACAGCCTCTTGATATGTCTTGATGATTAATCTCCCAGATAGAAAACAGGAGTACCTGTTTTTAGTACAAAGACCCAATCTAAGATAACTTTGATATTATGGTATATTGCCAAGCTGGTGAATAAGGATTATAATGACCATCATGTTTATGACTGAACAATGCCATGTAACTTGTCTGTGTGGATTCAGTCAGTTATTTCTTGTAGTTTCATGTTGCACTGTCTGTGATATTATTGACACCTATCTGTTTGTTTGTTGTTGTTTTGTGCCAAATTGTGTAACAATATATCTATATTCCATATTATTGACCGTATAAGTCCAGTAAAGGTATCAAACAAAACACTATTAATAAAATCATATATATTTATTCACTTCTATATGGCAAATGAAATTGGTGCCTTGCAAAGCTATTACCTAACTCATGTGAAAAGATTATAGAATGTAGTGTTTAACAGTAAAGGAATATCTGGTAATTTTTTTCTAATCTTTGGATATCGCTTATGATCCATCACCGGCTAAAAGAATATATATCAACTTGGATACCATGTGGCAGAAATAAAAACATTCTCTATATCAATAAAAATGTTTGTTATTACTGACTTGTGCTTGTAATTAGTGTCCCCATGTTGTTATTCTTGAAAGTGGTCACTATGTCTCTGTGTATCTACCGTTTGATCAAATGAGCGAGTGAGTGAGTGAGTATGGTTTTACGCCGCTTTTAGCAATATTCCAGCAATATCACGGCGGGGGACACCAGAAATGGGCTTCACACATTGTGCCCATGTGGGGATTCGAACCCGTGTCTTCGGCGTGACGAGCGAACGCTTTAACCACTAGGCTACCCCACCGCCCCCGTTTGATCAAGAGAGGTGAAAGTTTTCTTTTTTTTTTTTTGTTTGTTGTTTAAAACCATTCTCAGCAATATCGTGGCAGTTTGTAAATAATCAAGTCTCCACCAGACAATCTACTGATCAACATCATGCATATGAGCATCGATCTACGCAGTTGGGATATGATGACATGTGTCAACCAAGTCAGCCAACAAATCACTGGTTTTATTGCAATATCACTTTAGATGAGGCATTCCAACAGTGGGAAAGCCATGACTCCAGCTCAACAGGGTCCAGTCGATCGAACTTGGGGGTTTATGGACAGATGATACATTTTGCAAGCGAGTGAAAACAGCAATCAGTGGCCAGTAAGTAACAGATTGACCAATCAAACCAGAGGTTGATAGCATGAAGAACAATCCATGTCACCCGGGACTGGTTGCTATGCCTGGCATGCTTCACATCAAGCATTATGTCTCAGTGAGTGAGTGAGTGAGTGAAGTTTTACGCCGCACTCAGCAATATTACAGCAATATGGCATCAGTCTGGAGTCTGAACCAGACAATCTAGTGATCAACAGCATGAGCAACGATCTACGCAACTGGCATACGATGACATGTGTCAACCACATCAGTGAGTCTGACCACCCGATCCCGTTAGTCGCCTCTTACGACAAGCATGGGTTACTGAAGATCAATTCTAGCCCAGATCTTCACGGGTCCAATCTTGCTATCAAGTCAATGGTTTTATCTAGTCTTATTAATATGGATGTCCATGGGCCGTTTATTTATCTTGAGGGCTATGATTAGGATTGTGAAACTTACCTCTCTCAGGTTTTCTGGGTACAGAGGGACTGTCTGCAGCTCGTCAGGGCTGAACAAAGCGTATTCCTCATGAACTAAGTGGTCGTTAACGTGGAGGTCGACATCTGAGGTGGTGTCCGTCAGACACATGGACAGTACGCGACTCTGGGGATGTAGGAGGAATAATACTGACAACAAAACAACAACGTTATATATAACTGGACTAATTAACCACCATAGCCTTGTTTCCCGTCCTGTATGAACGACATAATGCTACAAATGACACCAAAATTATCAACCAAATTACACCAGGGCTCCAGATAATTTTCAACATCAGGAGTATATAGGAGAACTGGAGTGCTGGAAAACCTTAAGAGAACATTTAGAGTACTCAGTTGAATTTAATGGCGTATCAGTAATCTTTTGTTATTTTGTCAAATATGCACCACAACATTGCTACTCTTGTGCAAACAGGTCAATAAATTATAAAACAATACCTATTCAGATAAATCGTCCTGTAAATGATTCTAAGACCGTACACCAATGCTGTAGTGCGTATCTGCTACGTTTTCTACATTTTTTCCTACCGTATCGTTCATATTTTTTATCCGTACATACGCCAAAACGGCCCTTATCTGGAGCCCTGTTACACTGTTTTGATAACTGAAACGATGTGCAACATCACCAGTATTAAACCCTAACAACTTTTCTAATACTTTGGTGAAACATTTACACAAGAGTATGGTGCTGACAAACCATCAATAGATCTTTAATGAACAGGGATTCCCTCCCCATAAGCTTTCTGGCAGGCCCAAGGGACACAACTCTGCACAATATCCGCCACTCAGAAGTCAGGGGCACCTGTGACATCCTATGCCTTTGAGTGAGTGAGTGAGTTTAGTTTTACGCTGCTTTCAGTATAGTCCAGCAATATCACGGCAGGACACCAGAAATGGACTTCACGCATTGTGCCAATGTAGGGAATCAAACGTGGGTCTTTGGTGTGCTATGCTTTTGAAGTAAAATATATGAAATAGGTACGTGAAACTTACACATATCTTTTAGAAAATAGTTATGATGACACTTTCTTATCAAATTACCTTTTTTGGTAAGGCTCTTTCAAATTGTTATTGAAAGAGTCAATATAATAAGTGACATTATTTCATCATGTATCTTGAGTTGATCTGTCAGAACCTGACGTTTACCATAAACGTCCAGTCCCCACGAATGTCTCACCTTCTGAGAAGTCACCAGTGCTATCATCGGTTTGTTCATACAAATCTTCAACATCTCAAGCTTTGCCTGTTCAGTCCATTTCTGAAGGAAAACAATCAAGATTTTCTTGGACAGGAACTATACTGGAGGAAACAAAAAACAGAACGCATGACAGTAGCGGTATATCTGATCCTGACAAGCTAATGATTTAAACACTTGACTCCATTACCGGCCAATTTATGGTCAGTTCCAGTTTACAACATGATTTTGTGCAGTTTCACCAATTGTCCAACAATATCCAGCAGGACACATGAAATAAACAGCATGTGAGTAAATACTGTTTAACAGCATCCAGCAATATTACACCTATATCACGACTGTTCTCATATAGTTAGGGCCAGGTAAACTAGCATTATCTCTCAGTGTAACCAACCAGTAACAGTTCATTTCACAACAAGCATTGGATACTGGGGAAATTATTCCACTCTTTGGTATCCGTAAAGTACATTTTATCTTTCTGTATCATGATAAAGGAAACTTTGTACTGGACTTTGACCCCATGCCCAGTATAAATCAGCAGTTACCTCCCCTGAAGGTTGTATGTTGGCTAGTCTTGCTTGAACTGCCTGGGCGGGAAGCTTGAGGTAGCGTGACCTGAGGAGAAAAACATCACATCATGGCCAGTCAATACTTCATGTAGGTATAAAGACATCAAAATCTAATTTGTGTATAATTTGTTTGTTGTTAAATGCTACATTCAGCAATATTAGAACTCTGTGACTGTCTAACTAGTGAATCCAGATGCGTTTGTTTGTTGCTTAACGTCGCACTCAGCAATATTCCTGCTATATGGCAGTGGTCTGTAAATAATCGAGTCTGGACCAAACCATCCAGTGATCAACAGCATGAACAATTGGGACATGACATGTGTCAACCAAGTCAGAGAGCCCGACAACCCAACCCTGTTAGTCGCCTCTTAGGACAAGCATGGGTTGCTGAAGACCAATTCTAACCAGGATCTTTATGGGTCAGTGAATCCAGAGATTGAGAACATGAGCACTTAGATTTTTGATAAAAATCCATGGTAACATCTTCTTGAATGTCAAAGGGGTGGACTCAGATTTGCACAGCAGATTTTGGCTTCTGGACCAGCGTGGTTCTCGAAATAATACAACAAGAGTCATCAGAAGATGACATATTCCCCCGGCCCCTACACATTTGAAAGAACAAATCATCTGACAGTTACTTAAAGTCCAAGTCCAAATCTTGTCCATGGAAATCATGAGAAATGCCAAAAATCTGTAAATAGTAAAGGTACCATTTTAAAAATTGGAAACCGGGAAAAATAAATATGCCAAAAATCTGCCAAATAGCAAAAGGCACCACTTTGGCATCTGCCTCACATATGTGCCAAGTTTTGCTGAAAGATATTCAGAAATTTTCGAGTTGTGCTCCGGAAACAAAGCCCACCCCTCCCTTTTGGGACTAAGTTTGAATTGTTTCCATAGAAACCGGGAAAAATAAAAATGCCAAAAATCTGCAAATAGCAAAAGGCACCACTTAAGGTTCTGTTTGATATGTCTACCACGGTTTGTTGAAAAATATTGAACGGTTCTTGAGTTATGCTCCGGAAATGAAGCCCACCCCTCCCTTTTGGGACTAAGTCCTAAACGATTCCATGGAAACAGGGAAAAATAAAAGCATTATCTAAGCTCAACAGGTACAACATCCTGGCGCCTCACCGCAGTAGTCGAAGCGTCTTCTTCTGCACAGAGCAGGTGTTGCCGTAGTCGACGTAGTATACCTGCACACAGAACACAACACAAGCTTATTTGCTTCCGGGACAAATGTAACGTCTATTAAACTCACATGACACTACACCTTACGCCTACAGCACAATGCAGCTCTGTGTCACACTAGGTAAGAAAATAAGTACTGCTTTTATCATGCGTGGCAAAGTGTTACACCCAGTAAGCTATGGTAATAATTATTTACATTTGTGAAATAGAACAGTAGATTTTTCTTCCTGCTGAGTTCTCATTCTTCTTTGAAACAGAATAATTTGAAGAGTTGCAGAACCCTGAGGTTAAATCCTCAGCACTCACGTCGACGAAGTCCATGGTTCTGATGCTGGTGATGATGCCACGGTGCCAGTTCTGGTCCTCCGGGAACAACACGGCCACCACCTGCCCCACAGCCAGCAGCGACTCCGGAACCTTGTATTGGTTGCCACTGCTGCTCCGATAAAACCTAACAAAACCCAACACAGCGGCCAATCAGCATGTTTTGAAACACCTTTTTAACGCCACTTTGAACATTATTACATTTATTGCTGCTTGCATAGGTGTCCATATTTTGTAACTGCTGATTCTGCCAATCAAAGAAAACTTACATTACAATTCCTCACATAGGTATAATGTGTGAAACCCATGTTAGGTGAACTTGTGAGGAGAGTGAGTGAGTATGGTTTTACGCCGCTTTTAGCAATATTCCAGCAATATCACGGGAGGGGACACCAGAAATGGGCTTCACACATTGTACATGTGGGGAATCAAACCCGGCATGACGAGCAAAGGCTTCAACCACAAGGTTACCCACCGTCCATCTTGTGAGGAGAGAAAACATGAAATGGGGGCGTCAACATTTTGTTCAAGATTATTGCTCTGACTTACCAACATGCACGTCCGTGTGTGTCTGCTATCCAGACTATTGCCACTTTTGTAGCATTGTAATAGCAGTTTAACATGGATACCCTTCTGCAATACAGACTACTAAGCCTGCCAGTCCTAGTTTTATCTCTTAATGCTCAGCACCTGGCTGGGGAACAACTGGAGGGGTAACACTATGGTGAGAGCACCCTATGATATCAGTGTATGAAATAAGGCCCAATCGCCTGAGACGGTCTAGATTTACAGCTAGCCAGCCCGGTGGTCTGGTACAAAATTTAGATGTTATATACATCTGAGTCATATTTTGGTGCCTGGTCTGGTCTGGTTAAATCCATTTTGGACTGGTAACATTTTGAAGTTAACAGCCCTGATGTCTGGCTGGGGTTTCGGCTTATTTCATACACTGATGATATGTTGCCTAATAATATGGGGGCGATATTCTCTCCCTTTTTGTAGATGAATCACAACCCTGAATCATTTGTTTTCAAAATTCACACAACAAAGTGGGGAAGCTTGGGGCACTGTGAAGATTCTGCTATTTATAGCCAACCACGAAATACTAGAAAATCTGCATAAAATCTGCACAAACTGGTTCTTGAACAGTTTGCCATTGTTCACATGTTTTTATATCAATATAACTTGTAATCAATTGTATGTAACATAACACAGGAGTGTAATTGACGTATCTTAAGCCTCGTATTGCAATAGAATACTGCACTGCCGAATCATTACACAACTAGGAACAAGTAAAATCTGTTGGGTAGTGAGTGAGTGAGTTTAGTTTTATGCCACACTCAGCAATATTCCAGCTGTATGGCGGCGGTCTGTAAATAATCGAGTCTGGACCAGACAATCCAGTGATCAACAGCATGAGCATCGACCAGTGCAATTGGGAACCGATGACATGTGTCAACCAAGCCAACGAGCCTGACCACCCAATCCCATTAGTCACCTCTTACGACAAGCATGGGTTACTGAAGGTTCATTCTAACCTGGACCTTCACGGGTCGTCTCTTAGGTAAGATGCGTCCAGGGATCTAACCGACTTTCTGCTCTCTGATCAAACACTGTTCTACATCAGACATAGCAACAGTCTGAATATTTCCATTGTGGATTCAGGATAATCATGGACTGCAAGCTTGATGACCACAAGAAAAATGTCAGCTGAATTTTAATGACATGCTTCAAAGTTTGTGCTTCTTTTATGTCAACTCACTCCAGATCATCCATGAGTCTTTCAAGAGCCATGGTGTTGTTCCGCTGTCGGAACTGTGTCCAGAACAGTCCAGGAGAGACGATGTTGGACACAAAGATTTCCACGTAGTCAGAGAAATCTGGCAGAGGGAGTTGTGTGTAGTATGACCCTGGTCCCACAGCATCTGCTGGTAGACTATCCTGCACGGTTGGAGTTGCCTGCTGTCAGACATAGAATTACAGCTGTAAACATTCACAAATCCATGACGTCATTGACAGTTTGGAATAGGGGTGAAACGGTATACCGCGGTATTAGTAGAACTGCGGTATCTTCCCTTCGGTTTGGTATACCGTAATGCAATCAAAATTTGTTATTTTTGATTTTCATACCGTCATTTTATTAACCTTCTTTAACCTTTTCAAAAATGTCTAGAAATCGAACCATTTTGTCAAAATCTATCTAGGTTTGGCTCTTGTTGTCAATTTTCTGCATTATGATCATATCTCAAGTTCTGAACCGAACCGAACCGAAGGCCTTGTACTGCAATACGCAATATGTACCATACGCAATACGTGATAGGAGCTTACCATTTCACCCCTAGTTTGGAATATGTAATTTTAACCACCATGGCAGGACATGATGACATGGTGATAAAGGAGTGAGTGAGTATGGTTTACGCTGCTTTCAGCAATATTCCGGCAATATCACGGCGGGTGGTGATAATCAAGGCTGTGGAAGTAGCAGAGAATGCATCAGTTGCATTTAAGTCATCCGTTTGGATAAACGTTTGGTCAGAAAAGTCCTCAATTAAGTATGTTTTGAGTGAGTTTAGTTTTATGCCGCTCTTCGCAATATTGCTGCAATATCATGGAGAGGGGACACCAGAAATGGGCTTCACATATTGTACCGGGGTCTTCGACAAGCAAACACTTTAACCACGAAGCTACCCCACTGCCCGATATACTCATATAGGCTCTGAACAAACATTATAGACTTGTATTTCATAGAGCTTGTTGTGTATCATGGTATCAATAAATAATCACGAGACAGGAAGCAACCTAAAAATATATTAAAATACGAAAATCGGTACTTTACTGACTAATGATCATTTATTGTAAAGCACAGTCATCCTTCGCAATAACGCTCTTCGCGATACCGCGGATTCGGTTAAACCGCGGGGTAATCCGTGGCTCCCATAAAAGTTGCCCAGTGATCACACATATTCACGTGATCGAAAATAGCACATCAACAAATCCGCTGTTGAGCTCTGGTTAATCACGCAGTAAACTAGTGAAATTCAGTGCGGATTGCAATTACCAGTGTTTATCGTATATATCCATTTTTTTCAGATGCTTAAAACATGCAGGGTCTTTTTCAATAATAATTGATGAACAGCGAAACATCGTAATAACTTTATCATAAAGACATGTCGATTATCAGCCGAGTAGTATGATAGCTATGATGCAACACACCGCGTAATTGCGCGGGTATACACCGCCATCCGAGAATGTATGATGTCAGAAAACACATTTTATTTGATTAAATTCAATCCCATTTTCATTCATTAAAACTGTTTACAATAACAACGGAGAAACCGTGAGTGAAATGGCATTACCTCATTCGCGAGGGTCCGTTTTTCGCGCCTACCGCAATAGCACCAATTTCACATTTTTCTCAGCAATCACGAACAGATTACAGCCTTGCCATCCATTGACCCCAAGACCCGCGTTATTGACTCGTTGAAGTCATATTTGACAATTAATTGCCAACATTTTGTTTTTACAATCAAAGTGGCACGTACCGCGGGAAGTCAGCGGTGACTTGTCAAACTGTCTCCTACGTAAAATGTATCCAGCCAGGTAACCCAAAGTGCTTAGCAATGCTTATTATTATGTTAAATATGTTCGTAGAAAACATGCATTATACTTATACGATAGCAATATATAAGATCTCTGTTAGAATAACTGCTTGACATATCAATTATTCTGATAATGGAATAGAAATTCGTGGATGTTATATTTACGGATCGTTTTTAAATGAATCACCGGTACATTGGACAAAAACATCGATGTGTGCCCAGCTGATTGCTATTTCCGGCTTAGTTGAATAACAGGTAGCATGACAGGAACAACAATTGAATTATCATGTCCTGTGATGTTTGATTGCAAGTTTCATGTCCATACATCTATTTTTTATTTACAAAGTTGTTGTATTTTCCACCTCCAACAATACGATATAGTTTTGACTGGGCACAATACACGAAATAGCAGTTTTGTTATGTCCATGGAAAATACGATTTTACTTGGCCTTTGTTCACGTCGTTATGTAATTGTGTCTAATTGTACGCCGGGGTCAATGATCAATGTATAGTAAATGATCAATGAGTGAGTGAGTTTAGTTTTACTCCACACTCATCAACATTCCAACTATATGGTGGCGGTCTGTAAATAATTGAGTCTCTACCAGACAATCTAGTGACCAACAGCATGAGCATCGATCTACGCAATTGGGATATGATGACATGTGTCGAGCATGTCAGCGAGTCTGACCACCTGATCCCCTTAGTCGCCTCTTACGACAAGCAAGGGTTACTGAAGATGAATTCTAACCCGGATCTTCACAGGTCAAAATGGTCAACGAAAACTGCCCAACAAATACTGCTTAATGTTATGAGATTATTTTTAGCTCATTAGGGAGCTAAAACCTCACAGAGGTTGATTATAATGAGACGTAACAACACAAAAAAGGCAGTATGTGCATTGTTGGTTGTTTGGTTTGTTGTTTAACGCTGCACTCAGCAATATTCCAGATATATGGCGTTAGCCCGTAGATAATCGGGTTTGGACCAGACAATCCTGTGATCAACAGCATGAGCATCGTTCCACGCAATTGGGATACGATCACGTGTCAACCAAGTCAGCAAGCCTGACAACCCGATCCCGTTAGCTGCCTCTTACGACAAGTACGGCTTTCTGAAGATCAATTCTAACCCTGATCTTCACAGGTACAGTATGTGGATGGTTAGTTCCTGGTATTTGCAAAACACAAACTGCATTAATGAAAAGAAAGCAGAACCACCTGTTCCAATCTTGCAATCCACATTCACCCAGATGATTTCACATTTTAGATTCAACTTGACAGCTTGTCCACTAATTGCATGTTTTCAACTAAGCTCCAAAATTGCATACTGTCGACTACAGACATACCTCTGAGACAGCAATGGGGTGGTAGGTGTCCAACAGCTGGTCAAACTTCCGGGTCAGGTCGGAGTATATGGCATACAGCATGAGGCAGCCTGCATTAGAGTGAGTGAGTGAGTATGGTTTTATGCTGCTTTTAGCAATATTCAGCAATATCATGGCAGGGGACAACAGAAATGGGCTTCACACATTGTACCCATGTGGGGAATTGAACCCGGGTCTTCAGTGTGACGAACGGACGCTTTAACTATTAGCCACCAGTGTTTGAAATAAATCACCCCACTGCCATCAGAAGCTGCAGTCCTCGATAAAACTGTTCAGGCCATTCCTTGTTAAACTGCTGATTGTGGTGACAATTAAGTTACCTGAACTGAGAGACTAAAAACTTGACATTTCACTCATTACTCTGAAATGTTATATGATAAAAAAAATTATGGTCCACCATGCCTACAGTGTATAATTTGTGCATGTTGTTTGTTTGCCTGTTGTTTAACGCCGCACTCAGCAATACTCCAGCTATATGGCGGCGGTCTATAAATATTCGAGTCTAGACCAGACAATCCAGTGATCAACAGAATGAGCATCAATCTACACACATGGGACACAATGGCATGTGTCAACCAATTCAGCAAGCCTGCCTACCCAATCCCATTGGTTGGCTCTAATGAGTGAGTGAGTATGGTTTTACGCCGCTTTTTAGCAATATTCCAGCAATATCACGGTGGGGGACACCAGAAATGGGCTTCACACATTGTACCCATGTGGAGAATCGAACCCGGGTCTTCGGCATGACGAGCGAACGCTTTAACCACTAGGCCACCCCCACTGCCCCTGTTGGCTCTAATGACAAGCATGGGTTGCTGCCGACCAATTGTAACCCAGATCTTCACTGGTACTGTGCATGTACTGAACACAGGAGACTCACCATCCCCCTTGTAATTGATCTGCAGTACATCGTCTGTGAGAGAGATACAGAGTTTTTCCAGGGAGCCACAGTAGGCAATCTCGTCCTTCAACGTCCGGCCAGTCATCTCCTGGAACAAGCCAGAAACAGTGAGTGGGTGAGGTGAGTTTAACGCCACACTCGATCTATGCAATGGGGGTGTGTGACAAGCATGAGGCACTGGGGAGCTAATTTACTTCAGAATCTCCATGGAAATAGTAATGAGGTACTGTGGGCTTAATCTACCCCAGAAACCCCATATGGAACAAGCATGAGGAATGGGGGGACCTAATCCAGCTCAGAATGCACACAGATAGACTACCATGAGGTATATGTGATCTAATCTCTCCTGGAATCTCTCCTGTGCACAAGCATGAAGTCTTGGGACCTAATCTACCTTGTAATCATGGTGACAAGCATATCATATGACAAGGCTCAAATCTGCACTGGAATTCCTCATAAGATCACAAACTTTCACTCCAGGAGACCTTGTCTGAGTACCTTGTATTTAGCTGGGAACTCCTGCATGAGAATCCCTTCCTGGTGAGCCTGAAGCACCTGCCGAACGCTTTCCCGGAAACTCTGGTTCTCCTTGGGGTTCTGCAGACCTTGTTTAGATTCCACACCACCTCTCACCTTTCTCTCAACATCATCTGCAAGATAACAGTCACATTAGATAAAACCTCATAGTACAGCCCATAGTCATATGGGATCAAACCCCATTGTACAGCCATTGTCATATTGGATCAAGTCTCATTGTACAGCCATAGTCATATTGGATCAAGTCTCATTGTACAGCCATAGTCATATTGGATCAAACCTCATTGTACAGCCCTTGTCATATTGGATCAAGCCTCATTGTCAGCCCTAGTCATATTGGATCAAACCTCATTGCAGTCCCAGTCATATTGGATCAAACCTCATTGTACAGCCCTAGTCATATTGAATCAAGCCCCATTGTATAGCCCTAATCATATTGGATCAAACCTCATTGTACAGACCTATTCATATTGGATCAAACCTCATTGTACAGCCATAGTCATATTGTATCAAACCTCATTATACAGCCTTTGTCATATTGGATCAAACCTCATTGAACAGCCCTTTGCATATCTGATCTAATCTTACTGTACAGCCCTAGTCATATTGGATCAAGTCTCATTGTACAGCCATAGTCATATTGGATCAAACCTCATTGTACAGCCCTATTCATATTGCATCAAACCTCATTGTACAGCCCTAGTCATATTGGATCAAACCTCATTGTACAGCCCTAGTCATATTGGATCAAGTCTCATTGTACAGCCCTAATCATATTAGATCAAACCTCATTTTACATCCCTTGTCATATTGGATCAAACCTCACTGTACATCCCTTGTCATATTGGATCAAACTGTACAGCCCTAGTCATATTGGATCAACCCTCATTGTACAGCCCTTTTCATATTGGATCAAACCATACAGCCCTTGTCATATTGGATCAAACCTCATTGTACAGCCCTTGTCATATTGGATCAAACCTCATTGTACAGCCCTAGTCATATTGGATCAAACCTCATTTTACAGCCCTTGTCATATTGGATCAAACCTCATTGTACAGCCCTTGTCATATTGGATCAAACCTCATTGTACAGCCCTTGTCATATTGGATCAAATCTCATTGTACAGCCCTTTGCATATCTGATCTAATCTTACTGTACAGCCCCAGTCATATTGGATCAAACCTCATTCCACAACCCTCCTAATATCCCATCTAATTTGACCTACTTCTTTTTCATTCAAATGAGTTCATTCATTTTTCACAACTTTGATATTGTTTGTCAACACATCTCAGGGAACATGGCTTCATCTGTCTGTCTCTCTTTCTCATTCAGAACCAACTTCGCCAGATTGGTCATCCTGATGGCATGACATCATACCAGGCGACGCTGACATCATACCAGGCGACGTTGACATAATACCAGGCGATGCTGACATCATACCACGTGACACTGACATCATACCAGGCAATGCTGACATCATCCCAGGCAACACTGACATCATACCAGGCGATGCTGACATCATACCACATGATGCTGACATCATACCACGTGATGCTGACATCATACCACGTGATGCTGACATCATACCAGGCGACGCTGACATCATACTAGACGACGCTGACATCATACAAGGCAACACTGACATCATACCAGGCGACGATGGCATCATACCAGGCGATGCTGACATCATACCAGGCGATGCTGACATCATACTTGACGACACTGACATCATACCAGGCGTAGCGACGCTGACATCATACCAGGCGACGCTGACATCATACTAGACGACGCTGACATCATACCAGGGGACACTGACATCATACCAGGCGATGCTGACATCATACCACGTGATGCTGACATCATACCACGTGACACTGACATCATACCAGGCGACGCTGACATCATACTAGACGACGCTGACATCATACCAGGCGACACTGACATCATACCAGGCGATGCTGACATCATACCACGTGATGCTGACATCATACCACGTGACACTGACATCATACCAGGCGACGCTGACATCATACTAGACGACGCTGACATCATACCAGGCGACACTGACATCATACCAGGCGACGATGGCATCATACCAGGCGATGCTGACATATCAGGCGATGCTGACATCATACTTGACGACACTGACATCATACCAGGAGGCGCTGACATCATACCACGTGACACTGACATCATACCAGGCGAAGCGATGCTTACATCATACTAGGCAACGCTGACATCATACTAGCTGTCGCTGACATCATACCACGTGATGCTGACATAATACCAGGCGACGCTGACATAACACCAGGCGACGATGGCATCATACCAGGCGATGCTGACATCATACCAGGCGATGCTGACATCATACGACGACACTGACATCATACCAGGCGTAGCGACGCTGACATCATACCAGCCGACGCTGACATCATACTAGACGACGCTGACATCATACCAGGCGACACTGACATCATACCACGTGATGCTGACATCATACCACGTGACACTGACATCATACCAGGCGACACTGACATCATACTAGACGACGCTGACATCATACAAGGCGACGCTGACATCATACATGGCGACACTGACATCATACCAGGCGACGATGGCATCATACCAGGCGACACTGACATCATACCAGGCGATGCTGACATCATACCACGTGATGCTGACATCATACCACGTGACACTGACATCATACCAGGCGACGCTGACATCATACAAGGCGACGCTGACATCATACTAGACGACGCTGACATCATACAAGGCGACGCTGACATCATACATGGCGACACTGACATCATACCAGGCGATGCTGACATCATACCACGTGATGCTGACATCATACCACGTGACACTGACATCATACCAGGCGACGCTGACATCATACTAGACGACGCTGACATCATACAAGGCGACGCTGACATCATACATGGCGACACTGACATCATACCAGGCGACGATGACATCATACCAGGCGATGCTGACATCATACTTGACGACACTGACATCATACCAGGCGTAGCGACGCTGACATCATACCAGGAGGCGCTGACATCATACCACGTGACACTGACATCATACCAGGCGTAGCGATGCTTACATCATACTAGGCGACGCTGACATCATACTAGCCGACGCTGACATCATACCACGTGATGCTGACATCATACCAGGCAATGCATACATCATACCAGGCGATGCTGACATAATACCAGGCGACGCTGACATCAAACCAGACGATGCTGACATAATACCAGGCGATGCTGACATCATACCATGCGACACTGACATCATATCGCGTGACGCTGACATCATACCATGTGACACTGACATCATACCACGTGACGCTGACATCATACCAGGCGACACTGACATCATACCAGGTGATGCTGACATCATACCATGCGACGCTGACATAATACCAAGTGACACTGACATCATACCAGGCGATGATGACATTATAGCCCCTAAATCTGACCTTCACCTTCTTCACTCAGCTTTATGACTTGTCATACAGTGGGTTCAAAGCAATGATGTTAAACTAAGCATTTCACAATCTTGCTCTATACTGGTCCTACTTCATGGAATTTCACTTCCCCTCACATTTCTTTATTTCCTTTTTAACGCCGTACTCAGCAATACTGCTGCTGTATGACAGCTCTCTGTAAATAGTAGAGCCTGGAGCAAACATGACATCCTGAGCATTGATCTATATAATGTCATCAATTTATGTAGGATGACTGAGTTTGGTTTTACGCCGCTTTTAGCAATATTCCAGCAACATCACGGAGGGGGACACCAGAAATGGGCTTCACACATTGTACCCATGTGGGGATTCGAACCCAGGTCTTTGACGTGACGAGCCAACGCTTTAACCACTAGGCTACCCCACCGCCCCCTTATGTAGGATGATGCGCATCAACCAAGTCTGAGAGGCTGACCACCTGATCCTATTAGTCTCCTGCCTTGGCAAACATGGGCTGCTAAAGATCGATTCTAACCAGACCTTCACAACCTTTCAGTTTCCTTTACAAAGCCATAAAACTAGTTATAAACAAAATGGCATAAAGTTATAAGTGTTAACTTCCAATTTGTCAATGTATTTACGGACATTTGTTACAGGGTTAGGCCCAAACATCAGTCCCTTATATCAATCCCTGATTAAGTTCCAGCCATTAGTGAGTGAGTTACTATTTATCGTCACATCGGCAATATTTCAGCCATATCGTGACGAGAATATTTTATAATTATATGAAAGATGAATAAAGTTAGAAATTAAAAAACCTGTTGACGAAGAACAGTAAAACTACTAGTGTTCCAGTCATTAACAAACAATAATGAACTGCATACATTAGTGTCATTGTTGTCTGGCAATGGTAGCATCTGTCATAGAATCAGACAACAGTGAAGGGAAAGTTCACATCATGTTTTCCTTGGATGAGTGAGTGAGTGAGTTTAGTTTTACGCCACACTCAGCAATATTCCAGCTACATGGCTGCAGTCTGTAAATAATCAAGTCTGGACCAGACAATCCAGTGATCAACAGCATGAGCATCGATCTGCGCAATTGGGAACCGATGACATGTCAACCAAGTCAGCGAGCCTGACCATCTGATCCCGTTAGTCGTCTCTTACGACAAGCATGGGTTACTGAAGATCAATATTCTAACCTGGACCTTCACAGGTATGTTCTCCTTGGCTCCCAATCATGTTAAATGATGCATGATTGTTAGTTTGTTTGTTGTTTTACTGAACACTCACCAATATTCCTGCCAAATGATCTCTGCAATTGGGATAAGATGACATGCATCATTTAAGTCAGCAAATCTGACCTGATCCTGCCAGTCGCTTCTTTTGAGTGCGAGTGAGCATAGTTTTACGCCACTTTTAGCAATATTCCAGGGATATCACGGTGAGGGACACCAGAAATGGCTTTCACACATTGTCCCCATGTGGGCAATCGAACCCAGGTCTTGGGTGTGATGAGCGAACGCTTTAACCACTAAGCTACCCCACTTCTTTTGAAAAGATGGGTTGTCGAGGATCAATTCTAACCCATCACCACAGGTTCTGACCTGTTGGTTGGCCTACCTTGTTGGTCTGTCTTGGACTGAGCACCAAGCAGGAGCCAGTCTCCCTTCTTGTTGGGGCGTCGGATCTCAACAAGCTGTTGCGGAAGTGTCGACACAAACTCCACCACACTGTGGAATCCCAAGTCTTTGAATGGCAGCTCCTTGTGGAACATTTCCTGGAACACAGATTCAATGATACTGAAAGTCCAGCAGTGAGGAAATGTGAACACCTGTCTGCCCTGAGCCAATAACATGTCCATCAGTCTAATCTAACAATAAAGCTACTTGCCCTGATCTGTTTTTAGAGAGTTAGAGATTTGCAATATGTGGACACAACGGACATCTATGAAATAAAGATCTGCACTGCCAAGTGAATTATGTCTCTCGGTAAAGTATGTATAATTACATGGCACTGCATTTCTGTAGACATTTACGTTATTCCAGTGAGTGAGTGAGTGAGTGGAGTGAGTGAGTGAGTGAGTGATGTCAAATGCTGCTATGGACAGTATTCCCAGTCTAGGACTTGCCACTTTGGTGTAACACAGGAGCACGACAAACTTAAGTTGAACTCTTGATCAAAGGTTTCTGTTGTGCCCAAGGGACACAACTCTGCACAGCCAATTATAATGCTGAAGATGACTGAGCCACCTATCCCTCGGAGCAAATAACAACAAATCATAAGTAATAATGTAATTGCCTACCAACAATATCTGTACAAGAAACCCTAGATCCTTCATTATCTCATACCTTGTAATCGAATGGCAGCCTGCATGCCCAGATTCCCTTTGGTCTTGTCTCCAGGACCTTCAACGGAATAAATTCATGTAAATAACATAACTCTTAGAGCAAGTGAAAGTTGCTACTACCTGTCGGTCAGCAATCCATCCACCCACATCATGGTGGCCTGTAGGTAATCAAGCCTTGACCAGACGAAAACGGTGATGGAAGAAATTAGTGAGGGAGTATAGTTTTACACCACTTTTAGCAATATTCCAGCAATATCACAGTGAGAGACACCAGAAAAGGGCTTCACACACTGTACCCATGTGGCGAATCAAACCCAGGTTTTTTGGCCTGACGAGAGAGTTGTTACCATTAGTTTATCCCACTTGGGAACGTCATGCTTTGCACCTGGATTATTGACCTTGGACAACTAATACACAGATGGTACCAGTACTGAAATAAAATATATTTCAAATAGCACACAAATCTGGACTCCAAATCTGCAGCAAATGTCTGTGAAAGTTCACAAATTGGAATTAAAAATTACCCAATTCATGTTCATATGGATTGATGGAGGTAAATTGTATTTCAGTTAAAACGGGACAAATACAGAGAATTCTAAGATACTTCGGTGAAACATCAAAGGTGCCGACAGTACTTTATCAGACGATAATGTGCACTTTTTGCATTACGTCACAATGTATTGGCGTCACTGCACCATTCTAGTCTGCCCCCTCGTAATCGAACACTTTTGCATTATGTCACAATGTAACCGACGTCACGGTGCATGTCAGTTGTCATCGCCTCGTACAGCCTCCTACAGTAAACTACTCCGTTGCAACCCGTTTCTTGGTTTGCTGTTGCCTCACTCAGCTAACATCACTGGTGGAAACATTGCGTTTATGTTTTCCGATGGATAAAATGTCTCAGTTCGACTTACAATTTTGCAGCAAAACGGTAATGGTCGCAATGTTTACATTCCCACAAAGCAATCGTGCAATGTCACTTGACTAGTCAGCTTCATCTGGATGTACTGATCTAAACTTACGTTGGTAGTAGTAATGCAATATTCATAATGTCCCATATGGTTTACGTTAATCACAGATGCAATTAGAATAATTTAGAGAAAATATTCAACCCAAACGTAAACCGTCATCAAAGTGTTTATCATTTGTTTTTCTGGTAACGTTTGTCTTAATGTAGGAGGGCAGACACGTCAATAGAACAGCGCGTCAGTTAGCCCTGTGCGAGGATTCTTAATTTAGGTCACCAACACCATTGTTTGTTTTCTGCCTTAGATTAATCGTAATTATCCTTAGAAAGTATTAAATTTGGCATCTTAGAAAAGAAATACAGTTTGCTCTACCACCATGTATAGTGTAATAAAGCACACTTTCGCCCTGAACTAGAATAACGTTAAAGCATGAGGACGCTTGCATGGTGGTAGAGCGAACTGTATTTCTTAAACAGCTTTTCACTTTATATTACTATATTTGACGAAAACCTAAATACAATTTGATATCTCTTGACAGTAAACATGTACCTGTGAAGATATGAAACTAAGAACTTTAAACAAAACAAGACTTTCCCCCCAATTTGAATGACAAAGATGCTGAGCCTTGAATCCTGTTTATGATTACCTTTTTTATTTCGTCCTGCAGCTCAGGAGAAACTCCACAATCATCATCAAACATTAACTCGGTGGAATCCAAGGAACTGTTACAGGATTTGATGCTGTTCCCTGACTGCTGTGCCTCTCTGCTGTCATCTGGGGATCACAAAGTAAAGGTCATCACACACTCATGCTTAGATAAAGCCTAATGACAAGATACTTATATCAGGATTCTTTCTTTTTCAAATCATTATCTCTCAGCTCCCTCTCATGACACAATTCCTCACTAATACTATATCTATACAACATATACGTAGAGAAACAAATAAAGAAACACAGGAAAATTCAAGCATTCCTTTATTAAATCTTTGAAGGGCATTTAGAAGTGGAATGCATAAGAAAAGCAAGATTTATGGATGTCAACTTCTTTATTGTGAATAACACGCGTTTGAGTGTATGCTTACACCTATCATTCACCTGATGAAGGAGTAAGCATATACTCCGAAACGTCATGTTATTAACAATAAAGAAGTTGACATCCATAAATCTTGCTTTTCTCATTCCTTTATTATTTTCCAGTTTTCGTCACCACAGCGTTATTCAAAGCTGGTGATGAAAACTAGAAAATATAGGAACATTTGAATTTTCCTGTGTTTCTTTATTTGTTTCTCTATGTATATGTTGCTATGACACAGCAGCCTGTGTAACAATCAAATCTGGACCAGACAAACCGGTGTTGATATCACGAACAACTTCCCCAATGGTTGGGGTGCAGTGAAAGCTATCAACAAAATAACCAACCACTCAGCTTATTTTATCTATTACAAGCTATTGCGGAGATCGATGCTCATGATGTCAATCACTGGATAGACAAATAGCTTCTTGTATTCCTGCAAAAGTTGGTGTTAAGACAAACATTGCTGTATCAGAAACCCTTCTTTAAACTAAATAATAATAAAAAATAATGCACAACCTACAGCATGCTCAAGGCACAAAATTACTTCCCGAGCCAATGGATCAGTGTGCAATCCCTAGTCAGTTTACAACCCATCCTGCCAGGTTCTAGAATGGTGAAAGTTTCATTATAACACATCCTTACAGGTACCCATTCACTGCTCGGTTAACAAGTCCCTTTTTTTAAAAACAAATATCACCTGGTGCTGTCATTTCTCTGCTTGTTACAGCCACAGAAAGTGGTTCCTGTGAAGTCTGACTAATGTTGGTGGACATGGTAGGCGTGGGTTGACTTGGAGCAGCAGAGTGGTAGTTGGTCGTTGTAGTGTGGTAGTTGGCCGTTGTAGTGTGGGCACTGACAGGTGCTTGTGGTAGGTGTATTCTCATTGGAGGGTTCAGCGTTGCTTGTGGAAGGTATTGTACGCTTGTTGGTATATGAACATTGGGAATAACAGGCACCTGATACAGCATGTTTCCTGATTGAATGAATTGCATGTTAGGGTTTGGGTAACCCATATTCTGACCATTTGGCTTTTGGATTATGTTTTGGATTGGGAGACTCAGAAGAGAAGGAATGTTTGATGTATGTTGTGGTTGATGACTTAATAAAAGATTCTGGGTGTTAATGGGATTATTTCTGTGTGATACCGGGTGTGCTGCTGGGGGCTGTGACTGAAGGCTTTGATATGCAACTGTATTTGGTAACTGTATTAGCTGTGGCAGACGCTGAAGGAACACGACTGTCTGCTTTGGGGGAAACATTTATTTTCGGTGGCACACCAGATCTAAAATCTACTGGTACAACCCTCAGTTCTCCATTCTGAAAAGGCAGGAGCTTCACTACTTCAGGAATACTTCCCAACAGGTCACTCAAAGTATCAAAGCGGAGTTTTTTATAATCAAGCTGGTACCCAAATCTCTTCGAAAAACAAGCCTCAAAATGTGTGATTGGCAAGCCATCACTGTAGCACTTGAACAAGTTCTGAATCTGATTTCTTAAATGACTGGGTACTACTGGAGCAGGCCGATACGTGTTGCGTCTAGGTGGTTGCTTTCGTAACGCAGCCCACTTCTTCTTGTTTGGGATCTTCTGTCTGGACACTAGTCGCTCGATATGCCGAGTTGTGGGATCCGTTGGCGCTTTCAGGATTAGAATACCCTTCTCCCACGATGGACAAACCGTGTCCGGAATATCTTGGAGAAAATCTTCCAAGCTGTTGTAGCCAAGCTGTCTGAAGGGTATTGGTGGTCCGATGAAGCTTTCATAATCTGTCTTGAGTTCTCTCAGTGTCAGCCCGACTGGGGAGGAAAGAATCAGACCTCGAATTTGCTTCTTTGTTTCTTCTTTTAGTTTAGCTTTGTCCGTCATTTCTGGCTAATTTATATCGTAAATGTAGCAAAATACATTAACCCAATGAGCTGTCATTCAATTAATAATTCAATTTTGGTCCGTAAGAGCGCATTGCTGCCAAAGTGTCATTTGTTTTCATATCACAGTTCACCATGTGCACAATGTGCGATGTAAAATTGTGAACTGGCCTTTTAACGAAACATGTTAACTCGGGTACACTTCATGGGGAAAAGGCTTTAACGATTGTTTAATTCATGCTTTACAACTACGCTCGAACCTACCTCAACAACATCGATTAACATTGTGTGCGACGACTACAACTACGATTAAGAACACGGCCTCAGAGCTACTCCACACCCTCTCTTCTTATTTTTTTTGTAGACATTTTCTTCTCGACCCCAGAACTAGAGCTATACAATATATCATAATAATCATTTATATCATATATATGAATATACATTGGTCAATTTAATTAAAATCTGATCTTTCCCGTCTAGATTCACACGGTCGTTACTGCGACGGCATAAATTATTTTGGATATCAAATGGAAAATTATATTTTTTATTGTAAAGATATTTAATGTGGAGCAACTGGTATATACTCACTCTTGCTTTACGTGCATACTGTGAGTGTGTTTAGGGAAACGAACTTGGAGAAAATTATTTTGACAACTTTCATGAACTACATCACCGAATAGTGGTCAGATGCTCATTTCGTTTCTGATTCAGATTTTGTTTTCTTTTACCCAAGAGCAGAGCACTCTCAGTTGTTGTCATTCGGAAAGCAGCGTGACAGAATAGCTCAGAATGATCGATTTTGATCATGCATTGTCACAACATTTGGAGTAACTATATGTATGAGAAATATCTGCCGAGATATGTAAAGACCAAGAGTGTGTTAACGACTGTGAAGTTAACAAAAGTAAAGTATATAATGTTTTTGGTTCAGACAACAGGCACTACCATGCCCTCAGCCTAGTAGATTTGTATTTACCGGTTTAAGTTGATGAAGTATTTTGGGTATTATATTTGTCAAGTTTTTAATGCAAAGAGGGACAGCTCAGCCCAACTGCGCTTCTGACAATGTGTTCCAGACTGTATGCCCCAAGTGTGTTTGAATGAACTTGTGTGAATTATGAACGAATGAACTAGTGTTAATTACCATTATATTATTTTTGTTAATTATGTGAACTTGTGTATTGCCATTACATGAAAACTTGGCAACATGCTTGGCTATTACCATGCCATTACTACTTTATTAATGTTATGATGGTATTATGTTTCAATGCTATATGTGTCAATAAATAATGTATGACCTTTCTAAACTTTTTTTCTGTTCGGCCCATATGACTAGGAATAAGGCCCTTTTGACTTTTGTCATGGCCCATTTGACTTTCACCTTGGCCCTTTTGACTTGGCACTTCTCGGCCCCTTTGTCCTTTGGCCCATTTGACTAGTTCCCCATATAGACTATCAACAGATCACTGACATATTGCTGGTGCTCAGTCATGCTAAGATATATTAGGACAAGTGTAATTACTTTAAGATAGTAACTGTTAGATATTACTGACTTTTATTCATTTGTCTTCGGGACAGACAACACTAAGTTGTTGTTTACAATACAAAAGCTCTTTCATTGTATGCATGTTTGTGACAAATAGGATTCACTGAGGTAATCTACCATGGTGTAACGTGTTTTCGGGGTAATAACGCAAGAGATGACCATGTAAATTATTGCGTATCAGTAGATTATCAAAACTGTAATTCCGTAATTAAATATCATGTCACCTTTCATAAATTTATTGTCAGAATGTTCTGTCATCCGCTGATTTCCAATGTAGTGAACATTTGGTGTCTGTCCGCCAGCGCGAACGGGAGAAGTGATGTACCATGTTTTCGGGTTACTCGTTATAGCGCGGGGTCACGACCTTGTATGGAAGCCCAGTTGATGCATTCTTCTCCCAAGAAGTCAACAAATACAAAAGGCATTTTAATAAAAAGACAAGTAAACTGGTCATTTTTTTCTTGATTATTTGAGTGTTTTTTGTAAAAATTGTTAAAAATAAACTTATTTACACGTAAGTTATTCAGTCATATGCACACTCATTCTTCTTGTCTGCCATGGCAGGGACAATAAACATGATAAAACATGTCATGTCTGCGCAGTACAGTGACATTGCAGCAGTATTTTAAATGAGCCCAGTGGTCACAAGCCGAGACGAATTCTGCAACACTGAAAAAAAAATATGCAAGAGATGACCAATTTGGTCTTATATAGTTTTTTTATTACGTCGGCAACATTCCATTAGAGTCACGTGATGTTTATGCTTGGCTTTTCACTCTAGCAGACGATGGTCCGCTTGACAAGTTACAAGCTTTATTTCAAAAGTTATGATCACATTTATGAAGGTTCTGAAAGTGCATTACGTTCTAGGGTAGAATTTAAGTACTTTTACAGAAATTTAGGTCACAACTTACGTGAAAGCTGGATATTTCAAACATTTTGTGTCCCGGTTGTCACAGTAGCTTCTGCACTGGAGACGGTGTTTACAGGTGGCGCTGTCATCTCTCTGTACGTGAGAAATTACGGGAAAAAGACATACCCCGAAAACATGGTTCCCCCGAAAACATGGTACGGCATGGTATATAATTCCTAGGTATGACAGTCATGTTAATAACTCACCTAACATTACCAGATGAACTAATTTTTTTCGTATGAAGTTCCAAAGTGCATAAAAATATAATAAAAGATCTATTATGCTAGGATTGTAAGCCAAAAATATGAAGACATTCATTGAATTCTGTTTTCTTTCAAAACTTACACTTTTAGTCACTGGGAGATGAAAGTAAACTTAAACATATGTGGAACTGTTGTCATGACAACTAGGTGGACTGCAGTTTGTAAAATATCAGAAGTATTAGGGGTCACAAAGATGACTACAGTCCGTTTGGCTCAAAAGCGGACCGATGAATTGCAATCTAACTTGAAAACTAATAAACATAACATACTCAATGAAACGCTGATCATAATCAAAACATCATACCAACTCTGTGAGCGTTTTTCAGAATTTTTGTCCTAAAAATAAAAAAGGTGTTTAACAAATCTATCATTAAAATATTGACACAGTTCACTTGTTGTTACGAGGGAGGAGTGCAGAGAAAGGGACAGCCAGGTGTTCAAGAAGCACGTTCACAGACAAAGTTATTTATTCATTAACCTGTGCTGTGCCGTCTCCATCCGTTCTCGAACACCTGGCTGTCCCTTTCTCTGCACTCCTCCCTCGTAACAAATAGTGAACTGTGTCAATATTTTAATGATAGGTTGTTAAACAACTTTTTTATTTTTAGGACAAAAATTCTGCAAAAACCTCACAGAGTTGGTATGATGTTTTGATTATGATCAGCGTTTCATTGAGTATTTTATGTTTATTAGTTTTCGAGTTAGGTTGCAATTTATCAGTGCACTTTTGAGCCAAACAGACTATACACATATCCATTAATTCCAAGATGAAACCTTATTTCATTTTTGTTGATCATGTGATGATACTTACTTACTTAGGCCTGACATCCCTCATAGGGCATAGGCCATCCACTACAGATCTCCAGATCCCCCTGTCTTGGACTTTCCTCTCCAGCTGGTTCCAAGTGAATCCACTTTTCTTTATATTTCCATCATGTGAGGATACACCCTTTTAATGTCAAAAGTGTAAACTGGTGGCATAGCAGAGGTCACAAATCATTATGGGATATCATCCAGGTACCTATGTGGAAAAACGAAAAAGAACAAAAGCATCAGTCAGTCATGGGGAACTGCTCTAGATCAGTAGCCCTTTAAGTTAGTACAGGCCTCCTGCTGGTTGTAAGGACACATCAAGTGGTCAGATTCTGTGAATTTGTTTGATTACATATCTTCATACCATGACAGTGTGGTTATAATATCAATCAGTGAATTGTCTGGTTCAGATTTTAATATAAGGGTAATGCTATTTTTGAGGGCATTATCATTTGCAGAAGCCCTAGGTCTTCCAATAACTGCCCACGAAGGATGGTGGCAGAACATACCTGCGTAGTAAACTTACTCAATGACGTAATATTTAGGTGAGTAAAATGACTGAAATACGCACATATTTGAAAGCAGTGGGTAATGGAAAATGAAATACCCACTCAACATTCATAATACCCACTCCAAAAAAATACAGTGGGTACAGTACCCACATGAGCTAAATCTTATCTGGAGCTCTGAAATGGAATGTTTTCTTTGCAGGGTTTCTGATGAACTAACCCTATTTGACCATGACATCCTACTGCAGACTGCACCATATGAAGAGGGTACTGTCCGTTACAAAAGCAAGTGCCACCAATTGTGGAGAGAGGACTGGAATACATGTTTCTAATCTTAACATTTTAACTGCTGGAAACGCAAATCATTCTGAGAGATGTTTCACAAGCCTACAAGGACACAGTGAACATAGTGTTGGAAGCACAGTTGATTGTGAAAAGGGTGTAATACAAATATACAGAACATTGCAAAGGTTCTGTCAGCCGAGGTATGGGCATTACAGACTGCCTGCAGCAGGGAAACACACCTCCTCCTTGTTTGTCAGTGATGCCTCTGCACAAAACACATCACTGGTAGAGATTGATCTGGGGCTTGAGCGGAGAGTAGCTCGAAAAAAACAGCTTGTCAAGAATATCAAGCTCAGAGGGATGAAGATTGATGTTGACACTTTTGTAAGTACAAGTTAGTGAGTGAGTGAGTGAGTAATGTCTTATGCTGTTTTTAGCAATATTCCAGAAATATCACTGTGGTTGACTCCAGAAATGGGCTTCACATTGTACCCATTTTGGGAATTGAATCCAGGTCTTCTATGTGACGAAGGAACACTTTAACCACAAGGCTACTACAGAGCCAGTGTAGCACATAGCAGTTAACAGCAATGTTGTTATTATTATAGGATATTTATATAGTGCGCATATCCACGCAACTAGTACATGCTCAAGGCGCTGGAGTGTCCCTTGATCAACGGATGTCTTTTTTTCCAGCATTCTTTTTAACCAACTTAAATATTCAACTCATAAAGCCGCGCAGTGAGTTATCACAGAGCCTCAGCCTCACCAGGTACCCATTTGCAGCTGGGTGGAAGTGAACGTTTTGAAATTTAAAAATTCTGAAATTAGATGATATTGTTCTGATTACATGTGTAAAGTAAACAAAGCTGGAGACACAGTACCTATTATACTACAGTTCACAGTGTTCCCTCAGTTGTCACCCTTAGTCATTACAGGATCCTCTATATGTTGGTTTAGATGGCTGATTAACACTGATTATAAATCCATATGACAATATCATGCTGCTGTCATGTGATAAAAATTAAAATGTCCATGAACTGCCTGGGGTGATGGGGTAGCCAAGTGGTTATAGCACTCACTTGTCACGCCAAAGGCCAGGGTTTGATTCCCCACATGGGCACAATGTGTGAAACCCATTTCTGGTGTTCCCCACCGTGATATTGCTGGAATATTGCGAAAAACAGCATAAAACCAAACTTGCTTGCCCACTCACTTACTCTCTCACTCAAACACTCACTCACTCACCATGAATTGCCTCATGCCATGATTTAACTAAAACCGAATAGTTCGGCGTTAAAATGAACTCTCTTACTTGTATGATATTTCTGTTTTAATATTCAAATGGATACTCTTACCACAATCGTCAGATTCTGTTTAGCAGGAGCTATGTTCCAATGATTTGTTATCCCCCGCAACACGTTTTGCGGGGGGTATTAAAATGGACTCCGTCCGTGCGTTCGTGCACATTTATCTTTTCCGGAGCACAACTCTAAAACCGTTCAATATTTCTTCACCAAAATTGGCACATAGATAGATCTAGTGGTCCACTGGTGCCTTTTGGTAGTTTTGGATTTCTGAATAAAGTGTTTTTGGCGTTCCATGGCAACAAGTTTCACTTTGACTGAAATTGATGGTAGTACTCTTTTCCAGAGCAGAGCTTAAAAAAACTGTTCACTGTTTCATCACCAAATTTCATACATAGGTAGGTCTAGTGTTGAGCTGATGCCTTTTGGTAGTTTTGGATTTCTGAATAAAATATTTTTGGCATTTCCATGGCAACAAGTTTGACTTAGACTGAAATTGGTGGTAGTACTCTTTTACGGAGCAGAACTCTAAAACCGTGCAATGTTTCTTCACCAAACTTGGCACATAGATAGATCTGGTGGTGAACTGGTGCCTTTTGGTAGTTTTGGATTTCTGAATAAAATATTTTTGGTGTTTCATGGCAACAAGTTTCACTTTGACTGAAATTGGTGGTAGTGTTCTTTTCCGGAGCAGAACTTAAAAACTGTTCACTGTTTCATCACCAGATTTCATACATAGGTAGGTCTAGTGGTGAACTGGTGCCTTTTGCTAGTTATGGATTTCTGAATAAAATGTTTTTGTGCATTTCCATGGCAACAATTTTGTCTTCAACTGAATTTGGTGGTAGTGCTTATTTCTGGAGCAGAACCTTTCAGTACTCTCCTTCCACAGCTATATACATGCCAAAACATTTGACTTAATCATAACTCGTAGACATATTCATAAAGAGTATTTTGCCATTGCTGGGGATATTGATGACTTTGTCTTCTTCTTCTTATACAACCATGTATGTGAAATTGAAATTTGATTGAGTGGGAATAAAACAAAAACAAACAAAAAACAACTCCATCTTGTACCACTTCACCCTGATAGGTGGAAGACTTCCGGTTGATGAAGAGACTTGAGAAGGAGAAACACAGGCTGGAGAGGGAGCGAGAAGAGATTGCAAAGAAGATGGCTGAACTGAAGAAAGGCAAGGTACTAGTATGATTCATTGTAAGTTTGTGTACCCTTTACCGCAGGATTAGAGCCAGTGCAGATTAGAAAAATTGTCTTAGCTGAAAAAGGATGGCAAGGTCAGTTATACTGACTGTGTGTATAATACTCACAAGATTCGTGATATTGTTCTGAAAGTATAGAAAGATGAATGCCAAATCGTTCACTCCAGGACAAGCAGGAGGATGTTCGGGCCACCAGAGAACTGTTGACATCCCAGGGGAAGAGGGTGAAAGAAGCACTGAAAGAACTACAGGTAAAGGTTATTAACATCTAGCTGTTGTATATATGGTATATTGGATATTAATTCACTAATATCTAATGTAGCTGCTGGTAGATTAGATATTAATTCACACTAATATCTAATGTAGCTGCTGTGTAGATGAAGGGTTAGATATTAACATCTAGCTGTTGTATATCTGCTAGATTAGATATTAATTCACACTAATATCTAATGTAGCTACTGTGTAGATGAAGGGTTAGATATTAACATCTAGCTGTTGTATATCTGCTAGATTACATATTAATTCACACTAATATCTAATGTAGCTGCTGTGTAGATGAAGGGTTAGATATTAACATCTAGCTGTTGTATATATAGTAGATTAGATATTAATTCACACTAATATCTAATGTAGCTGCTGTGTAGATGAAGGGTTAGATATTAAAATCTAGTTGTTGTATATCTGCTAGATTAGATATTAGTGTGAAGGTGTTGTACAGATGCAAGATGACATATTATCATCTAGCTGGTGTATAGATTGTGTATATATGGTAGATTAGATATTAGTGTGAAGGCGTTGTACAGATGCAAGATGACATATTATCATCTAGCTGGTGTATACAACGATTTATTCATGTTGACAGAGGAGCTGGTGGGTGTGGGAGGAGAGAGTGATGCTGGCAGCTCTGGGACTTCCCAATGACATCCGGGCACAGACTGTGAGTAGCCTGTTTTATTCAAAACCCCTCAGAGGCTGATATTCATAAATATGTGTGCAGCAGGAAAAATTACCAGATCAAAAGTCACAAAGGTACTTGGCCAGGGGTGCAGTGAACGTGCATCCTGTCAGAAGACCATTCACTAACTGCAATCCTCTTTAAATCGAGGTGGTGGGGTAACCTTGTGGTTCAGGTGTTTGCTCGTCACGCCTAAGACCCGGGTTTGATTCCCCACATGGGCACAATGTGTGACAACCATATCTGGTGTCCCCCGCCGTGATATTGCTGGAATATTGCTAAAAGTGGCGTAAACCATACTCACTCACCTCTTTAAATCTGTCTGTATGGATACCTGTAGTGCTAAAGGATAAATCATGATCTTCATCAAAACTTGTTGAATGGCTTCCAACAATAAATCTCATTTAAACAAGATGCTAGTGGTTGTATTCCATGACAGTTCAAGTCGGAACACACTTGTGAAGATCAGGGTTAAAATTGGCCTTCAGCAACCCATGCATGTCGTAAGAGGTCACTAACGTGATGGGGTGGTCAGGCTCACTAACACATGTCATCGTATTCCAATTGCGTAGATCGATGCTCATGCTGTTGATCACTGGATTGTCTGGTCCAGACTTCATTGTTTACAGACTGCCACCATAAAGCTGGAATATTGCTGAGTGTGGCATTAAACAAGAAACCAACCAACCAATCATGTAGGAACAGAATAATTCTGACTGTCACTTTCCTGATCTTCTGAGCATTACTGTCACTGGTTACTAAAAAGTTTGCCCTGATCGATTATGGATTTCAGTGTTATTTTGTTTAATGTTAACGAGGATTATGTTCAGATTTTAGTGAGGTAAGAATAGACAGTTCATGAAACCTGATGTGTTTCAGCCAGAAGAGGATGTTCTAGTTCTGGAATCCCATGGGGAAATACCAGGTAGATGCCTGTCTCAACACTGCTGATTGTGGGGTTAAATACGTCAGTGTTACCGATTCACCAATCAGAATTACCTGTAATTACATAAATAGCTTGTGAAAGTTTTCTTTTCCCTGCTGTTTCAGTTAACTGTTTCAAACATATATCATCACACAGTTTTCAGGCCACCATTGCTCTGACCATTGATTGCAGCATAAAACGACATCGAAGAAACTACACAATGTTTTTATGATTGGACTGAATGTTTTTAATGTTGACTGAATCTAGTATTGATTGGCTTGATAATGAAGACTATTGTGGACGACAATTCTTTGTTTTTAATAATGTTTCAGCTGAAAAAGCACACTCAGAAAACATTTTTACAGTACAGAAAATACTGGAGATGTCATTATCTGAATAAGGAATGGAATTATTAAACTGAAATGTTGTTTTAGAATTTAAGAATTCTTTCCAGATATATCCAAGGCCCAAAGTCACCTGGAAATAGTGAAGAAGAAACACTTAGTAAGATTTAGGTGAGTGCATATATTATATAGTCTTTGAATATCGTTAGCCAACATAATTCTGTGTAATATGGGACCCGTGAAGATCGGGGTATGTTCACTATTTGTTACGAGGGAGGAGTGCAGAGAGAGGAACAGCCAGGTGTGCTATTGATTCATTTACCTGTGCTGAGCCTTTCTCGCACACCTGGCTGTTCCTCTCTGCACTCCTCCCTCATAATAAATAGTGAACTGTGTCAATATTTTAATGATAGTTTGTTAAACAACTTTTTTATTATTAAATCATAATTCATTAAACTACTAAAAATTCACAATGATAGAACAATTATGATGCACCATGTCAAATTAGAAACGATTGTATTTGTAGTTTTTAGTAAAGTGACCAAACACTGTCATGAAAAGTTTTCTGCCAGACTATAGCTGTACTGGTAATACTTCCTGTTTTCAGCCATGTTGGATCCAAGGCTTACTACTTGTTGGGTCAGCTGGCTACACAGGAACAGTGTCTGCTGCTCTCCATGGTTGACCAGCTCACCAGCAACCATTTCCATCAACTAGCATGTCCAGAAATATTCCGGTCTTTAGTTGCTGTAAGTTGAACATTTATTACTGCCACAAATATTGTAATAGCTGTAGAAAACTCACAGAAAATCACACAGATTGGGATATGTGTTGGTCCTCCATGGGTGAGAAAAGATATCGAACAATCGTAACTTGCTTGTTAGGGCTGACTGAATATATAAGGTGGTCTGGCTCTGTGAGAGAGAGAGAGAGTGTGTTTAGTTTTACACTGCTTCTACTAATATTCCAGCAATATCACAGCAGGGACACGAGAAATGAGCTTCACACATTGTACCCATGTGGGGACTCGAACCCGGGTCTGCGGCGTGACGAGTGAATGCTTTAACCACTCGGCTACCCAACCACCCCATCTGGCTCTGTGATTTGATTTATTGCGTGCCAGCATACTCTGTATCTTTGGTTTAATGATCATTATATCACCCACTGGATTATCTGATGCAGACATGATTATCTACAGAATTGATTATTGACAGCTGAAATATTGCTGAGTGCAGCATAAACTACTAACAAAGCAAACTTTGTTGTGGGTAGAGGTGAGGTGAGGTGAAATTGGGTTTAACGTCGTGCTTGAGAATATTTCGCTCATATGACGACGTGCATGCGTGTGGTGTATGTGTATGTGCGGCTGCTTGTACTAGCCAAGACTGAAGCTGGTTTTATAGTGCTAGCCCACTGAGATACCATGCTGCAGTGAAGCATGAATACCCCACTCAGACACATTATACTGACTCCGAGCCGACCAGTCCTTGTTGTACCCATTAATGCCGAGCGCCAGGCAGGGACCAACAAGTACCATATTTTCACAGGCAGTCGGGATCCAACACCTTCCAGGCGGACCTCTAACCATACACCACAGAGGCGGTTCGTTGTTTGGTATAGGTCTTCAGCAACCCATGTGCTTGCCATAAAAGGATCGTAAGAGGCCTAACGGACCACCTTGGTCACTCTTTAGCGGACTTGGTTAACCACTACATCGGTTCCCAATTAGCAGATCGATGCTCATGCTGTTGATCACTGGATTGTCTGGTGGGTATTTACAGACCGCCCGCCATATAGCTGGAATATTGCTGAGTGCGGCGTAAAACTAAACTCACTCACTCACTCACTCGTTGTGGGTAGAGAGAATGGGTTGGATGAATCAGGATGAATCTGGGATTTGAACAGGAAGATCCTGTCAGAGTTTGATGCCATAGGACTACTTATCTTCTCTGTGTATTTGGAAACATGACACCCCTGAAGATCTGGGTTAGAGTTGGTCTTCAGTAACCCATGCTTGTCGTAAAACTAAAAGCCGACTAACAGGATCAGGTGGTCAGGCTCGTTGACTTTGTAGACATATGTCATCACATCCCATTTGTGTAGATCCGATACTCATGATGTTGATCACTGGATTGACTGGTCCATGCTTGATTTATTTTGTTTGATTTTGTTTCTTGATTTTTCCAGGAAGGATGTGGGGTTGACTATAAAGACAAGACACAGGTGAGTAACATGCTCTCTAATCAAAGTGGGGCGGTGGGCGGTGGGGCAGCCAAGTGGTTAAGGCGTTCGCTCGTCATGCCAAAGGCCTGGGCTCGATTCCCTACATAGATACAATGTGTGAAGCCTATTTCTGGTGTCCCCCACCGTGATGTTGCTGGAATATTGCTAAAAGCGGGGCTGGGTAGCCGAGTAGTTAAAGCCTTTGCTCGTTATGTCAAAGACCTGGGTTCGATTCCTCACATCATTACAATGTGTGCAGCCCATTTCTGGTGTCCCCTGCCATGATATTGCTTAATGCAGCATTAAATGAAACTAAACTCACTCACTCAAATCAGAGGGGTGATGGAGTAGCCTAGGTTTACCATCTACATGTTTAAAGCAATCGCTCGTCATGAGGAACACCTCATGGTTACAATTTGTGAAGCATATGTCTGGTGTCCCTTTTCGTGATATTGGTGGAATATTGCTAAAGAGATGTAAAACTAAACTCACTCACTGAAATGAGAACATTTCAATGGAAGGCTAATGGAAGAGCTATTGTTATAGAGGTAGCCCTACAAGAGTAACTGGCCTACTGGGGATGTAACTACACCCAAACACCGTTGTCACTCTTTGATGTGTAGATTTATGGTTGTCTTAAAGTAAAAGCTTGTGCCCTCACTCACTCATCATTTTGTGGTTCTGTCCAACCTCTGATAACCTACTGTTTGGTTGGCAGTAAGTCGGTGAGTCAGTAATGAAGCATATGTCTTCATGGATAATACTTTATGGTTGACAATGGTGTAAGGATCTACACTGAGATGTTGTTCTACGCAATAAAGAGTAAGTTGTTATCCACAAAGTGGTATGCCTCGGATAACTGTTTACTTAGCACCCTTCAACTTTGGCATAACACTATTTTACTGTCTGACAAAATTTCCAATTTTTGTAGCATTCAATAATTCATTTTTCTCTTTATTGTCTCTGCTGTAGATTTAACCACTTTTATCACTGTTTCTTCATGCTGTTGACCACTAGATTGTCAGGTCCAGACTTGATTATGTAGAGACCGCCACCATATAGTTGGAATATCGTGCAGTGTTCCACAAGCAACCAACCAACGTCACTGTTTCTGTGGGTGATGCTATTCCTGAAAATGTCTCTGTTCACAGATTTACAGTCTACTTGACAAGGATGGCCATGATACCACTGACAGCCTGAGACTGGACGACTTCATGCACATCCAGGGGACATCACTCTTGTCTTTTGCTGGTCGGTAGCACACCTGAACCCATCTAAATGGCTACTTCTCTGTTTTCAACTAGTCATGTTTTCTGGTGGTTATTCTTTATTTTAAGCTTGTGAACAGAACAAAAATGCCAGGTTGTGGTGTATTTCCTGTAATGCTGAGGAAACTTAGTAACAGGCCCATTTTCTGTGACAGGTATTTATTTTTTATGTGTGTAGAAACAAACAAGAAATTATCACAAAATGTTTCTATGATATAATGATAGGTCTCTTATGTAAATTCTATGATGTCATAATAGTTCTGTGTGAGATAAGTTTTAGGCCATAACAGTTATATGAAGTTCTTGAAAGGTATTTAGGAGGACAAACATGAATACTAGTTCTATGATGTCATATTAGTTCTATGACATCATGTTAGTTCTATGACATCACGTTAGTTCTATGACATCACGTTAGTTCTATTATGTCACCAGGATTCGAAATACCCCATATATTAGCATGCCATGGCATGGTAAATATCGAAATGGCACGGATAAAAAAATGTTCTCAGTGCCCTTATGGCATGCCTAATTTTTTGTAGACATAACACATCTTGAGTCATTTAATTCCCAAACAAAACACTTATGCAAATGACAAAAGCAAAAACATATATTGACTTTATCGTCCAGGAAATCACTGGAATTATGATGGTAGATGTAAAGAAATCTGGTTGTTTTGTCATTTAGAGTGTTGGGAGTACTGATAGTTCGGTTATTGAAGAGGAAATTGTGTAAGTTAGATATATTAAACAAGTGAACCTGTCACAAAATTCTCAGCTATTATAGGTGCTGGGAAAGCAGACTGACTGACTGAGTTTAGTTTTACACAGCTTGTAGCAATATTCCAGCAATATCACGGCGGGGGACACCAGAAATGGGCTTTACACATTGTGCCCATGTGGGGAATCGAACCCGGGTCTTCGGCGTGACGAGCCAACGCTTTAACCACTGGTCTACCCCACCGCCCCTGGGAAAGCAGAACAAATGAAACATAAGAAACATTAGACAGAAGACATATCAGTGATGACAGAAAGCAGGTTACATTTGTTGTTTACCAACAAAAATTGAAAAGATCATCATCTCTTCTACAGTCATTTATTCTAAAAACATGTGGGCACACTTGATTTCTGAAAGGCACACCTAAATTTTTTGCCTGGTGCCCTAAGGCACACTTAGAAATAAAAGTATTACTATCCTTGGTCACAATAGGAAAATCATACTCGCCGACACATGTCGTATCCCATGTGTCGTATCTTATCCCACTTGTGTAGACCGATGCTCATGATGATGATCAGTGGATTGTCTGGTCCAGACTCGATTATTTACAGACAGCTGCCATATAGCTGGAATATTGCTGAGTGCGGCATAAAACTAAACTCACTCATTCACTCACTTATGATGTTGATCATTGAATTGCCTGGTCCAGACTCGATCATATTGCTGAATGCGGCATTACAATAACACAAACAAAACATAATGTGTCAATGAAAAATATACCTCTTAAATATGACAAAGTATTAAAAATGCTGTAAATCTGTTAAACTTGTTACAATGTGTGTTTACAAGGTTACCTGGCGAAGACTGTGGTGCAGACATCATGTCTACCGTACAGACAATTGGCAGTCGGAAGACAGTATAAACCAGGTAGGACCATCCACTCATGTTTGATTAATACTGCAAAGTCTGACAGTCCAGAGATAAGTGTTATCAGGAGCGGTGGGGTAACCCAGTGGTTAAAGCATTACCTCTTCACGCCGAAGATCCAAGTTTGATTCCCCACATGGGTATAATGTGTGAAGCCCATTTCTGGGGTCACTCGCTGTGATATTGTTGGAATATTGCTAAAAGCGACATAAAAGTAAACTCACTCGCACATTAATGTTATCAGCATGGTCAGGGTACAGTGACACTCAGTCAGCAAGTCACATAACCTGACAACACCAGAAGTATTCTGTTCACCTTTGTGACAAGCATACATTGTTGGGACCACTCTTAGCTAGGAATTCCCACAGGGGCGGGCACTGTGAAGTGAGGCTGCTTTAAGCAACAGTAGAGTATGCTCCTCCTGTTGGTTACTTAATTGCCTGGTCCAAACTCGATTATTTTGAGACCGCCGCCATATAGCTGGAATATTGCTGAGAGCGGCATTAATTTTTACCGTCTGCAGGCTTGTGACTTCCCAAATCAAACCCCTCCGATAACAGATATTTATCCCGTAGAAAATCTTTATCCTGCCATTTAATGTGTAGGGTTCTTCCCCATGAGGATTAGTTTGAAATCCTGATTAGTTTTAAGTGTAATATAACTGAAATGCTGTTGAAAAGCAGCATGAGGATATGTAATGTGTTGTAAGATGCATTTTGTTGGTGTATCAGTTCACAGAATATGGACCCATGAAAGTCGGGGTTAGAACTGATCTTCAGTAACCCATGCTTGTCGTAAGAGGCGACTAACGGGATCAAACCCCTCCGAGAACAGATATTTATCCATTTTGTGACAAGCCAACTTGTGTGTGGAAAATCTTTATCCTGCCATTTAATGTGTAGGGTTCTTCCCATGAGGATTAGTTTGAAATCCTGATTAATTTTAAGTGTAATATAACTGAAATGCTGTTGAAAAGCAGCATGAGGATATGTAATGTGTTGTAAGATGCATTTTGTTGGTGTATCAGTTCACAGAATATGGACCCATGAAAGTTGGGGTTAGAACTGATCTTCAATAACCCATGCTTGTCGTAAGAGGCGACTAACGGGATCGGGTGGTCAGGCTTGCTGACTGGGTTGACACATGTCATCGTATCCCAGTTGCGTAGATCGATGCTCATGTTGTTGATCACTGGATTGTCTGGTCCAGATCCGATTATTTACAGACCGCCGCCATATAGCTGGAATATTGCTGAGTGAGCGTAAAACTAGACTCACTCACTAACAGAATATGCTTGTGCTATGATTGAAGTCAGTGTTAAAAATCTCTTTGCAGAGGGTGAACTTGATCTGCCGGGATTGTTTGGAGTCACACAGTCAATGAAGGTACTGACCTAATGATATGATTCTCAAGAGATATTTCTAGAAGATGTACTTCATAAATATATGTGTGATATCCCATCCTAATTTTATGTTTCTATGAGTCCAGGTGAACGATACATCTTTGTCTCTGAATATGTTTATAAATGATTTAGTGACCTATTTATTTTGGAGTGGTGGAGCAGGCTGTATCTTTGGTGTGATGTGTTGTGTCAGGAGTGTGGAGCATGGAGCATTAATATTGAGTGGTATGGAGCATCTTGTGTAGAGCATTGAGCATTAATATTGAGTGGTGTGGAGCATCTTGTGTGGAGCATGGAGCATTTTTATTGAGTGGTGTGGAGCATCTTGTGTGGAGCATGGAGCATTTTTATTAAGTGGTATGGAGCATCTTGTGTGGAGCATGGAGCATTAATATTGAGTGGTATGGAGCATCTTGTGTGGAGCATTGAGCATTAATATTGAGTGGTGTGGAGCATCTTGTGTGGAGCATTAGTGTTGAATGGTATGTAGCATCTTGTGTGGAGCATGGAGCATTAATATTGCACATTAATGGAGCATCTTGTGTGGAGCATGGAGCATTAATATTGAGTGGTATGTAGCATCTTGTGTGGAGCATGGAGCATTAATATTGAGTGGTGTGGAGCATCTTGTGTGGAGCATTAGTGTTGAGTGGTATGGAGCATCTTGTGTGGAGCATGGAACATTAATATTGAGTGGTATGTAGCATCTTGTGTGGAGCATTGAGCATTAATATTGAGTGGTGTGGAGCATCTTGTGTGGAGCATTAGTGTTGAGTGGTATGGAGCATCTTGTGTGGAGCATGGAACATTAATATTGAGTGGTATGGAGCATCTTGTGTGGAGCATGGAGCAGTGTTGAGTGGTATGGAGCATCTTGTGTGGAGCATGGAACATTAATATTGTGTGGTATGGAGCATCTTGTGTGGAGCATGGAGCATTAATGTTTGAGTGGTGTGGAGCATCTTGTGTGGAGCATGGAGCATTAATATTGTGTGGTATGGAGCATCTTGTGTGGAGCATTGAGCATTAATATTGAGTGGTATGGAGCATCTTGTGTGGAGCATTGAGCATTAATATTGAGTGGTATGGAGCATCTTGTGTGGAGCATTAGTGTTGAGTGGTGTGGAGCATCTTGTGTGGAGCATGGAGCATTAATATTGAGTGGTGTGGAGCATCTTGTGTGGAGCATGGAGCATTAATATTGAGTGGTATGGAGCATCTTGTGTGGAGCGTGGAGTGTTAGTGCTAAGATTTCAGAAGTGACAACATATACCTAGATGCCAGGTTTTGTGGAACAAACCCTTATGGAATGTATTACATATTGTGTGGTGTGTTGGGAATGGTTGGAGTGTGTAGTCTAACAAATAAAGCAGGGAGTATCGTGTTTTGTGCGTGGAATGTGAAGGATTTATCTTAAATGACCTATTTTTGCACTTTAAGGAAATGTCTACCCTCTGATCAGACTTCATTAGACCAAATCTGTAAACCAAGAAGTAGTTTCTTATTATGGTCTTTCTTTGCCTGAACCAAACCCAGCCCCATCAACACAGATATGGTAGTTGCCATTTGAGGGTTTAAGCGCCACATAGGTCTACAATCTGACAACCTGTATACTGTATATTTCCAGACTGTGATTCTATCTGCTTGCTCTGACCGAGTGTCCTGTGCCACTGAATTTAACAAGATCACAGCTCTAGTCTGGAAGCTGTACAACAAATTAAATTTAGCCATGAGGTGAGTGTGTCATTGAAATGCACGAAAGTATGTCTAACTGTGTGGTGAGTTTGTCCACAAGAGGATTAAGAGGATCTCTTGGTGTCAAATAACTGTACAATGGCTAATGGCATTGCATTTTGTCCAAAGGAACCTATGAATGACTTCATGCTATGCTTGTATCATAGGGACTACTTCTATATAGTCTAGGCTGTATTTGGTCAGATTATAATTTTTGACTGTTTAAGAAACATATTCTAAGTGAGTGTATTTTGTCCTGTTATTTTTCAGGCTTGTTGTCATTCCAAGCAGAGACCTTTTATTGTGTGAAAGTCTGAGGGTGGGAGATACAGATGTGGGCCCCAGTGTCAGGAAGTACATCAAGGTAGGGCTTGTTAAACAGTCCAGACAGACACCTGGTGCTGTGTGTGAGAGTGTAGGGTGGAACTACAGATGTGGGCCCCAGTATCAGGAAGTACATCAAGGTAGGGCTTGTTAAACAGTCCAGACAGACACCTGGTGCTGTGTGAGGGTGTAGGGTGGAGATGCAGAATGTGGAGCCCCAGTGTCAGGAAGTACATCAAAGTAGAGGCTTGTTAACCAGTCCAGACAGACACCTGGTGCTGTGTGAGTGTAGGAGTGGACAGCTACAGATGTGGGCCCCAGTGTCAGGAAGTACATCAAAGTAGGGGCTTGTTAAACAGTCCAGACAGACACCTGGTGCTGTGTGAGAGTGTAGAGTGGAGCTACAGATGTGGGCCTTGGTGTCCAGGAAGTACATCAAGGTAGGGGCTTGTTAAACAGTCAGACAGACACCTGGTGCTGTGTGAGAGTGTAAGAGTGGAGCTACAGATATGGGCCCTTGGTGTCAGGAAGTACATCAAGGTAGGGCTTGTTAAACAGTCTAGACAGACACCTGGTGCTGTGTGAGTGAGTGTAGAGTGGGCCCTAGCTCAGATATATGGACAGCCCTTGGTGTCAGGAAGATACATCAGTACATCAGAGGTGGGGCTTGTTAAACAGTCCTAGACAGACACCTGGTGCTGTGTGAGGAGGTGTAGAGAGTGGAGCTACAGATATGGGCCCCAGTGTCAGGAAAGTACATCAAGGTAGGGCTTGTTAAACAGTCTAGACAGACACCTGGTGCTGTGTGTGAGGAAGTGTAGAGTGGAGCTACAGATATGGGCCCTTGGTGTCAGAGTGATACATCAAAGGTGGGCTTGATAAACAGTCTAGACAGACACCTGGTGCTGTGTGAGAGTGTAGAGTGGAGCTACAGATGGGTATGGTGTCAGGAGTACATCAAAGTAGGGCTTGTTAAACAGTCCAGACAAACACCTGGTGCTGTGTGTGAGAGTGTAAAATGAGCTACAGATAGGCCCTTGGTGTCAGGAACAGTCTCAGAAGTGTCAGGAAGTACATCAAAGGTAGTGGGGCTTGTTAAACAGTCTAGACAGACACCTGGTGCTGTGTGAGAGTGTAGAGTGGAGCTACAGATATGGGTCCTTGGTGTCAGGAAGGTACATCAAGGTAGGGCTTGTTGTTAAACAGTCCTAGACAGACACCTGGTGCTGTGTGAGAGGTGTAGAGTGGAGCTACAGATATGGAGGGCCCCCGGTGTCAGGAAGTACATCAAGGTAGACACCTGGGCTTCCGGTATCAGGAAGTACATCAAAGTAGGGCTTGTTAAAAACAGTGTAACCTAGAACTGGGTTAAGGACCATTTCCTCTGCAATTTCAGTTGGCTCATGTTTCCTGCATTGATGACTATGTTGCTTAGGCGTCTGATGTGTTACCATAGCAACAACCAAACGGATTATAAACAATTTCAACACCTACAGATGGGTATGTACATAAGGTTTTGTTTATTTACTTTACTATCCAGAACATGATTGCTGATGCTATTTTGTTACCATAGAAACTGCAATAATTGATTCATTTATTCAGGGTGATTACCATTACACCCATGTTTCTCAAGAATAAATGACATTTTATAAAACTATCTTTCTCACTTATTATTATTACATGTTTTATAACATTCTTCTTTGAGTTAATTCATTGACATGGATCATTTTGCTTTGCTTTGAAGTGAATTTTAGTACTGAAATTATTTATACCAGGGTTTTACATAATGCGGTGGTTACTGCATATTTGGCCTTAACAATTTTGTAAAAGACTCTCAAAATATTATCATCTGTGAGTCATTCTTGGCCCTTAATTTTTATGAGTGACCCTCAGAATTCAGTTCCAATAAAATCGATTTGATAAACAAACAATGATAACTTTCATTTTATTGATATTAACAGGAGAGTGCAGGGGAACACCTAGTGGCTACAAATATAGAGCCATGCTAGAATCACGGTAAAGATACCAGCCAATAGCATTTGAGTATACCATTCACTATATTTAGACAGCCAATAGCAGTTAAATAGGTCAGGCACTATGTTTTAGACTTTGTTTTGGTCATTTTAGCATTTTTCAGTCGGTGCTAAGAAACAGCTTGACTCGTTTTTTAGATAATGTAAGCGAGAAAAACTAATCTCATGGCACGTTTCTAATGATGAGCACTAAAACCAACTTCAAAATCATGATCAGTGATATGTGCATTCGGCAAACAATAAAATCAACCCCATTACATTTTGTTTGTCAAAGATTTTAAGAACTCAACCTTAACCAGTCACGTAAATCTTCTAAAGATGACATTGACTCAGTTAAAATTCAGTGCAAAATCATTTCAGCGCATCTGTCCAAAATCTACAGAAAAAGGCTAACACAGTTCACCGTAGTAGATCAGACTGAAATAGGTCACATATGCAATGCACACTGTTTTATGTCATGGCTCAAAAATATATCCCTGCTGATGCTTTTTAGAGATTTGATGAATCTACAAGTTATCAATGGTGTAGAACAACTGCAGTAACTTTTACAGAAATGCTCATGTCATTGAGAGTCGATCTTCGATATTATGGAAAGAACAACAAATTGAAGCCATAAAAAGCAGTCCATGCGGTGGCCTTATATTGGATGAGACCGCATTTGATATGCCATTGAAAAGCTGGCGGTATATGTCAGGTATATTGATGAAGGTACAGACTTTCTGGGTGAATATGCTGAGTATGCAATTATGCTGGACTTTATTTATGGTTAGATTGAACAGTGAAAAATATACTATGTATTAACTAATCATATATATGGTGGCGGGGTATTTAGAATGAATTAAAATTACATGTCCTCATGGCAATATTTCAGCCATAATAGGTGATGAGAAGTGTTTTTACATAGACAATAGAATTGAAATTGTTAAAATGAAATCAGTCGTAAGAGGACTGTGAAATAACTAGATGGATGGAGTCTAAAACTAGCATGAACATGAAAACTATTTTACTTATGAAGACGAAATGCAATATAAAAACAGGGTATAGATCGCGCACAAGAAGGTGGAGTCATACACTAAAGGACTTAAATGACAATGACAACACAACACAAAATATATAAAATCGTTGCAAAGCTCTTGCTTTAGGAATTACACATTTGAAACATTACACCAAATATTAGACTAAAATTTTCATGACTCCCGTATACTGAAAATGACTCTCCAGAATAAATAATGTGAGTCACCATGACTCCCATTTTTCTAAATCTGTGTAAAACCTTGATATAGAATGGTCCAGTTGATGTGGGGGGTTCTAGAGTGTGGGACAAAATTTATTTACCAGCAGTGAAAATTAAGATAAAAAGTTTTTTAGTTTATGTCTGAAGGAATATTCAGGGCAAGTGGGAGATAAAATATGGGCAGCCTTACTTTGTCCCTGTCGGAATCCTGTGGTTGGTATTTAAATCCCTGATTATGTTCATTGTTTGTGATAAGAATACCCTTGTTTGTGCTTTCAGTAAAATGGTAGGGGTGTAGGGGGAGTAGCCTAGTGGTTAATGCCTTAAGCTCGATCACAGCTAGAGACCGGGTCGATTCCCACATGGGTACAGTATTGAAAGCCATTTCTGGTGTCCCCTGCCATGATATTGCTGGAATATTGCTAAAAACAGAGTAAAACTAAACTCACTCACTCAGTAAAATGGTAAACATTTGACCTTCATTGCTTTAGCTGTGTTCCCTTGTCAAACTGGCATGCTGCACTACATTTGAAGAGGAACACTTTTTATGGATAGGCAACTTCTTTGTTGCAGTAGATTCATTGTTCCGGTAGCCAGATCCTAACACTGTTATCAAACAAATGATGGCGATGTTAGAGAATCTACACCCGATGACCATCCTCTGTTGCAATAAATCAGTTGTCTATCGAACCCTGAAATGTTCCTCTTCATCATACCAACTACTAAGTGCCAGTTAACAGAACTTTGCACAACATGACAATACAACACAAAACAACAAAATAGTTGCACAACTCTTGCTTTAGGATTTATGCATTGAAATATTACACCAAATATTAAACTAAAGTTTTCATGACTCCCAAATACTGAAAATGACTCTCCAAAATAAAAATACTGTGAGAGTCACCATGACTCCGTTTTTCTAAGTCTGTATAAAACCTTGATATAGAATTGTCCAGTTGATGTAGGGGTTTTAAGAGTGTTGGACAAAATTTGTTACCAGCAGTGAAAATTAAGATAAGAGAAAAGTTTTTTGTTGTATTGTCCAATGGTGTAAAACCCATATCTCTCTCTCTCATGCTTCAGGGTATTAGTGATGGTAGGTGATGTTTATCATTTTAGGTCTATGGAGAGGTTTGGATGTACATTTCGCTTGTTGGGAGTTATGTTGGAGCAAAGACCAAGTTCCAGTGATGTGGTAAGTGTGAAATTTGTTCCATGGGGGTGGTGGGGGTAATCTAGTACTTAAAACATTGGCCCCTCATGGAATTTTGCAATAATGTGGAACACCTGTTTCTGGTGACACCACTGTAGCCAATATAGTTGGAATATTGTTAAAAGCAACATAAAACCTTACACACTCACTATGACTCATTTTAGTCCAGTTTAAGATTTGGTCCCTTGCATCCTTTGGGTTGTTAGCCCGTGAGATCAGGTTAGGAGTGATCTTCCGTAACCCATGCTAGTCGCCAGAGGCGACTTACAGGATCCCGGGTGGGTCAGGTTAAAGCTGACTTAGTTGACACATGTCATTGGTTATCAATTGCGAATAGAATCGATGCTCATGCTGTTGATCACTTTATTGCCTGGTCAGACTTCGATTATTTACAGACGCCGCCATAGCTAGCTGGAATATTGCTGCGTCGCGGTTTACAAACTAAACTCACTCCTCCTCACTCTTATGGTTGTTGTTTAAAGGTGACTGGATGAGTTGGTTGGTCGATGACCTGGTTGATTGCTTTCGTCAGTGTACCCCAGAAGCTTGAAGATTTTGCTCATAATGTCAATCACTGCATTGTTTGGCCCAGAATAAATCATGAAAAGACTTCATTTTGAATTTTGCTCATAATATCAATCACTGGATTGTTGGACTCAGAGCTGTTTATGAATAGACTACCTTTAGGTTTTTGCTCACAATATTAATCCCAGAATTGTTGTGTCAGGAACTGATTATGAACAGGCAACCTTTTGGTTTTTGATCATATTATCAATCACTGGATTGTTTGGCTCAGAATTGACAAAGGATAGACCACCTTTGTACAGATGGAATATAGCTGCGTGCAGTGGTAACTAACAAATGAACAAGTAACCAACAGTAATATGTATACATTTTGTCAACTAGTTCCAGTACACATACCTATTGATACAAACAAATTTTGGTGACATTGTGACAGTGTAATATTTTAAATGTATACTGTATTGACAGTGTAACATTGAATGTAAGAATCTATTGACCATGTAATATTTTAATGCAGCTCTATTGTTAGTGTTACATTTTGAATGTACAACATATAGACAATATAACCTTTTGAATGTACAACATATGGACAGTGTAACATTTTGAATGACATCATTTGATGATTGTAACATTTTGAATGTACAAGATATGGACAGTGTAACATTTTGAATGTACAACATATTGACAGTGTAACATTTTGAATGTACAAGATATGGACAGTGTAACCTTTTGAATGTACAAGATATGGACAGTGTAACTTGGCTTTGAATGTACAAGATATGGACAGTGTAACATTTTGAATGTACAACATATGGACAGTGTAACATTTTGAATGTACAAGATATGGACAGTGTAACATTTTGAATGACATGCGTTTGACAGTGTCACATTTTGAATGTACAACATATGGACATTGCTTAACCTTTTGAATGGACAACATATAGTCCAGTGTAACAATTTTGAATGTACAACATATGGACAGTGTAACATTTTGAATGTACAAGATATGGACAGTGTAACATTTTTGAATGACATCATTTGACATTTGTCACAGTTTTGAATGTACAACATACAGTGACATTTTTGAGACATTTTTGAATGTACAACATATGGACAGTGTAACATTTTGAATGAGATCATACGCACAGTGTAATATTTTGAATGTACAACATATGGTCTGAGTAACATTTTGAATGTACAAAATGGACAGTGTAACATTTTGAATGACATCATACACACAGTGTAACATTTTGAATGTACAACATATGGACACTGTAACATATTTAATGTACAACATATGGACAGTTTAACATTTTGAATGTACAACATATGGACAGTGTAACATTTTGAATGTACAACATATGGACACTGTAACATTTTGAATGTACAACATATAGACAGTGTAGCATTTTTGAATGTGTGCTCAATTGACA